AACCTGTACAGGCTGAGCCACCTAGAGTGCAATTGGATGCCAGTGGGAATGATCACCGGGATATGAGAGCCGGGGGTTTAAGTCTAGTTCCATCTCGACAGCTGGAGCTAGTTGCTCCAGGCCAATCTTCTGGACTGCGGAATCTCAATGTGGGTGCTTCCCAAGCCGGATTTTCAGGGCCGGGCGACGCGTTGTCACTGGACGTTAGGACACAGTCGTTTAGAGATTTCAGACAGATGGTTGAGGATCAGGGTCAGAGTAGTAGGGGTGATGCGGGCTTTCATACTCCGAGGTCGGGCCCTTCTACGGGGTTGATGGTCTCTGGGGATGGTTATCCGGTTTCTCCTGGAGGGACTGTTATCCGGCCTCCGCCTGGACCGCCACCTACCTCGCCACGCGTAGCGCCGGCGCCTCCTGTTTTGCCTAGTGGTCTGGGTTGGGCTGTGCCATGTGCTGCTTCGCCTGTTGGTTCTGGGATGCCCTGCGGTTCAGCGGTTCCGGGATACACGGGTGGCCACGGTATGGGTCAAGGAAGTGTTGGAGGGGCTTTCGCGGGTTCTGTTGGGGGTCTTGGAGCTTCTTGTGGGGTGCCTGTTGCCTCTGGTGGTAGAGGGCCGCTTAACCCAGAAGAGCCGGCGAAATACATCAACGAGCTTCCGAAACTGACTCAGACGGACTTGTCACAGTCAGCTGTTGTGTGCGGGAATTGGGTCGCTCAGATTCGGCAGATCCTTGTGGGGTTGTCTCCTAACGCAAGTACGTGGTGGCTTGGTGTGGAGGGTCCTGCAAATGAAGCATATCAAAAGTGGTTGGTGGCTGACCCACTGGGGAGGTTGGCGATTGATCCCTCGATGGTAAAGGGAACCTTCGATGCATACGCGTTTAGCCGGGTAGAAAGTCGGGCTGTAAGCTTGCTACTTTCTGCTGTTCCACAGGGGGTTAGGGAGGATGTTGTTACCAACCGTTGGCTTTCTTCGGCGGCCATCCTTTTTAGGATTCTATGCTTGTTTCAGCCTGGAGGTAGTACCGAACGAGCACACTTGTTGAGCCAGCTGGTGAACCCTGGGGTATTTAAGGGCTTTTCGGAGGCACTAAAAGGTCTGAGGCAATGGCAACAGTCGCTGCAACGGGCAGGAGAAATACACGCCACCCTACCGGACCCTAGCCTTTTGCTTAAAGGGGTGGATGGTGCTACGGGGTCGCTTCTGGCTGCTCACCCTATGGTCGGGTTCAGGGTAAACGCGTTTCGACACCGTTCTGCTATCGATTATAACCCGTCCGTGGATGGGGTTGTTCAACTAGTGAAACTTATTCGGGCTGAATGTGAAGCGGGTTCTTTAACTATGGATCCTCCTGATAAAAAGGCGCGTGCGGCCGCTCTTGCTGCGTCAACTGCTTCTGCGGAGGTTGCTTCGGGGGTTGAGCCTAAGGGTCCTTCTGTTTCAGCGGTGCAAACTGGAAAGGGTGGGGATTCTGGGTCGGGTGGACAACCGAAGGGCAAGGCTAAAGGTAAGGGGTCGGGGGAAAACGCGTCACTGTGTACAAACTTCTCAACCGCCGTGGGGTGTCGCTTCGGGGATGCTTGTAGATTTAAACACGACCGAGCGGTAGCTAGGAGGGAGAAGCGGTGCTTGGCCTGCGGACAATCGGGACATTATAGGCCAGAATGCTCTGTAGTGCCGGAAGAGCATAGGCGGGTTCAGGTTCCTGATAGTGGTTCGGATGCCTCCCCTAAGGCTAAGGCCAATCCTAAAGCTAAACCCAAGGCCGGTCCGCAGGCAAAGGGTGTTACTGAAGAGTCAGCGAGTGCAGCTTCGATTTCTCAGACACCGCAGCCAAAGGCTGCTGCCACTTCGAGTGCAACGGTGCAGCAGGAGTTGCTGGCAGAAGCTCAGAAGTTACTTAAGGGCGTAACCTTGAAGGCTGCTAGGGTTCAGGTTGGTGGTGATCTTGCAATTGATAGGGCCTGGCTTCTGTCGGCTATGGCTAGTGCGTCGAATCCTGATTTTGCGCTTGTGGACAGTGGAGCCACAAATGGGTTAAGGCAAGCGGAGCCGGGCGAATGGGAGCGTACTAGGGCCATTCAGGTTGATTTAGCTTCCGGAGTTGCGGAGCTTCACATTGATGAGAGGGGGACTCTCTTGAGCCAGGCTCCCTGCCAGGTCATAGTCCCTGCCGGTTACTTAATTGAATTGGGTTATGTTGTGAGCTGGAAGAAGAAGGGCTGCTTGATTACTCATCCTAGGGATGGTAGGCTTCGGGTACAGGTAGTTAAGGGATGCCCACTGATTCCGAGGGATGATGGCTTGAGATTGCTGCGGGAGTATGAGGGTCTTAAGGATAAAGGAAATTTCCCCCAACGGGCGGCGGTTTGTCGGGAGAGTGAGATTGTTGATCCTGCGAATGCACGGGCTTGGTTATGCAAGATTCTTCGCTCCAGGGGCGAACAGGGTCCGTCTATTGAGGAGCAGGAGTGTTTTCTCAGGGGGATGTTTCCCGAACTGCCGGATAATTGTGTTCGGAGGGTAGTTTGTCCGGTGTTGGACCCTGGAGATGTTGATCACTCGTCTCACCCTTGGAATCGGCGCTTTCGTCGGTCTGTTGCGCGTTCGAAGCCTGGCGGTATCTTGCTTCATATGTTTGCCAACAAGAAATCCTGGAAGGGTTTCGACCGGGTGATTAGCCTCGGTAAGGATTACCAGTCGGACATCCTGAGTGACCCGGTGTTTAAGTATGTGATGTCGTGGGCCAGTTCAGGGAAGATTGGTGGTTTGGTTGGATCATTGCCGAGAGAGTCGGTCTGGCCTGGCGGTCAATCTTCTGGTCCCCAGGAACTTTTGAGGGGTAGGTATGGCGATCGTTGGGGTTTTGAGGGCTTAACCGGAGAGCAGTCTAGGGTTGTATGCGATGAAACGGTTCAGTGGTTCCGATTCTTTCTGGTATTTGCGGTAGCACAAGCGGTTAAGGATGCTGAGAGCGCTCCGATGAGCTGTCCTGTAGCGGAAAGGGGGGAGGAGGAGGTCCCTCCACCTGGGGTCGAGGATCCCAAGGATTTAGCTTTGTGGGCATTACGGGTTGCGTCTAAGAGGATTAGTGCTGCTGCCATTAAGAAAGACAACGAGGGGAATCGATCCACTGTATTCTTGACCTTTGAGCATCCTTTTGATTTCACGGAAGGTTCCGGCATTGGTCGGACGGAGCTCGCTGGGTATCCTTCTATGTGGGCATTTAGGGAGGTTCAAGATCTCGTTGGGGTGTACGGGTTGCACATCGCATCATTTGATCAGGGATTGCTTGGTGGCCGTAATGGGGAGCTGACAACGATTGCTACCTCTTCGTGGTTTCTGTATGAGGGACTTCATGGAGTTGGTATAGATTTGAAGGGTGATCCTAGTGGGGAGTTGAGGCCTTGCATTGAGTATTTCGGGTGGTCCATTGGGTTTCTAGCGCGCGTACAAGGGGCTTGGTTGGATTGGTGTGCTGGGAAGGAAAGTGAAGCTGTCGTAGCTGAGCGGAAGGTTTGGCTAGCTAAGCTTTCTGAGAAAGAACTACTTCAGCAGCACGCTGATAACGATCATGTTCCGTTTCTTCGGGGTTGCCCCGTGTGTATAGCTGCACAGGGTAGGCAGAGAAGCCATTGGAGGGCCGAGGTAACTAGCCTGTATTCTCTTAGCTGTGACTTAGCTGGACCGTTTAAGGACGGGATGAGTTTTGATGCTACAGCTTCTGGTAGAGATAAGGGCAAAGGGTATAAGTACTTCTTGAGTGCTGCGTATTCGGTGCCGGTGAAACCGGTGTATCTTCGGCCAACGGGGGTCGAAGAGCCTCGCCCAGAGGGGGCGGAGGATCTCGATTACTCTCCTTCTGAAGCTGAGGGTCCGGAGGGTCAGGCTTCAGGTGTAAGCGGGTTGGATGCTTCGCTTATTGTAGAATCGGGGGAGTCTGATCTGTTTGACGCTTCGGGGGGTTTGGGCCTGAAGGCATTGTTTCGCAGAGTCCGGGAGAAAACTTTTCCTGCTGTTGATCCCCTGGATTCGAGTACTTCCTTTGCGCATCAGCGAGTCGCTGAAACAGGGCCTGAATCTCCAGGTGATAAGGGTCAGTCTTCGGTTGATGGTGTAAGGGTTGAGACAAAGACTTTGTTTCTTGGGGTCCCGTTAAGATCCAAACATGGTCCTGCTGTTATGGCACAGATTCAGGCCCTTGTGTGTCGTCTTGAAAGCGCAGGGTTTGCGGTTCATCGCTACTTTAGTGATAGGGCTAAGGAGCTGAGGAGCCATGATTTGGTACGTTGGTTGCGCGATAAGGGGATTTACGCCTCCTTCACGGCTGGGGAAGATCCTCAAGGTAACAAAGCGGAGTTAGGGGTGCAACATTTGAAGCAAGGGGTCAGGAAGCTCCTGCAAGCTTCGGGTTTGAGTAGCTCCTTTTGGCCGCTAGCGCTACTGCACACTTCTAATCGTAACTTCCACGAACTTTGTGCAGCTTTGGGTCAACCACGGCCTGCTATGCTGAACTTTGGTGCAGCTGTTGAGGCCAGAAAACGCCTTAAATCGGGGCACAAGAAACATTGGGAGCTGCGTACGGTTCCTGGTCGTTATTTGGGACAGGCTCCGGATTGTACGGGTGGACATCTAGTTCTAGTTGGAAAAAATTTGTCGGATCAGAAGGTTCTCCTAACCAACACGATTTATCCATTGCGTCCCGAGCCTGCGCCCCCTAAACCCAAGTATCGACTTTCGGGTAAGCGCTCGCCCGGTTTTGCAACTCGAGCTGTAGCTGCTGTGGCCAGTCTCTGGCCTTCCCGAAGACCTCGTGCATCCAGGTTGTCACCTGGGGGGGAGTCCTTTGAGTGTTCTGATGGAGTCCTGGGTTTTTCGAGTGAAGGCGCGGGTTCTTCCTTGCTGAGTTTGGGGGCTTCGACACCAAAGGATTCTTCTCGGGACGTAGAGCTTGGGGAATGGGTCGAGGTTGATTCGGATTTCGAAGCTGAGCAGGCGATGTGCCTGGATATTCTTGATGAAGAGGATTCTAGGGGCTTAGAGGTTGGGTTGAAGGCGGTAGCCGAGGAACAGAAGGAGTGGTTGAAAGAGTTGATTGCTTCCGGCTCCTACAGTACTGATGAGGTTGTAAGGGTTTTAAGAACTTGTGCAGGCAACCTGCAACCGGCGAATCGGAAGATTATGGGAGGAAAGGGTAGGTATGCTATTCTTGGCCTGTATAATCAAGGGGGTTTCAACGGTGTAACCCGGTTTGCCCTTGATAACCAGGAATTGGTGAGGTACTTGAATAGGTATGTTGATTCGTTCGGCATGGGTGGAAGGTATACGACGCTGTACTTGTCATTGAATACTGGAGTACCAGTGCACCGGGATATCAGGAATGATATGACGGCCCCGGTTTGGATTGTAGCCTGCGGTGACTTTCAGGGTGGTGGCCTATGGATAGAGGGCGAAGCCGGTCAAGGTCCCGTGTTAAAGGTTCTTCCGAATGGGGAGACGCGGTGTGGGTGGATTCAGGACATTCACGATAAACCTTTTGTTTTTGAGGGTTCCAGGTGGCACTGTACTGAGCCTTGGAGCGGTAGGGACCGGTGGGTGATCGCAGCCTACGTTCCTCGGGGAGCTGGAAGGGTGATCAAGGATCATGCCCAACAACTTGAAAGCCTAGGGTTCAACTGTGATGGTTTGATTCCTGGGATTGGGAATTCAGGGATCTCGATTTCGAAGTGTAACCAGGCGTCGGTATCGTTTGCCGATGATGATGCCCTTAGTGTTGAGGGTTCCTGTGTTGATGACGAGTATCAAACTTCTGAGAATGACATTTCTTGGGAGATTGATTTTCCGTGTGAAGTGCTTGAGGGTGATTGGTATCCAAATGTCGTTCAAGCTCATGCTGAGACCGCACGCTTGTGCAGGGTCCTATCACAAGAGCTGGGCGGATGTTGGGATTCGTTCTGCTTTGATGGATTGTTCGGGCAGCTGAGAGCGGCTGAGAATCAAAGGGATTGGTATGAAGGGCTTCTCTGGGATGAGTTTCTTCGGGATTCCGCGATATCCTTGAGGTCACTAAGTACAGTTCCTTTGGGCAGTGATGAGCCGTTACCGGCTTCAGAGGTGTTCCTTCAAACTAGGACGGTCTCTATGACGGAAGCTAGGCGGGAACTTCCGTTGTGGATTCCACCGGCGCAGGAGGAAGTTACGTCTCTTGAGGATGTCCATGAAGCAGTCATTAGAATACAAGTTCCGGATATCGAGGCCCTTGTTAAGACTGGTCATCGGGTTGTTCAGGTTCCGGGGAAGGCCGTGCTTACGCGGAAGTCCGGTGTAGGTAAACGTCGGTTTCGATGCGTGGCATGTGGGAACTTTATCCCTCAAAATGAGAACGCCCAGAGCCTCTACACCACTGGAGTTGAGGGTGTGACCTTAAGGGTAGCACTTGCTTATGCTGCACATATGTCTTGGGTTGGCCGGACCGCCGACATTAAGACTGCATTCCTGAATGCCCCCTTAGAGGAAGGCTACGATAATGGGACAGAGGAGATTGTAGTTGTACGCCCTCCTCACATTCTTGTGGAAATGGGACTCCTCGGTGTCACTGATCGGTGGCGGGTAGTTAAGGCCCTGTACGGTCTAAGACAGGCTCCGAAGGCTTGGGCTGTGCACCGGGATAAGATTTTAAAGGCTTTTGAGTTCATGTACAAGGGTTCGCGCTTTGTCCTGAAGCAAGCGATTGCTGATGAGTCGTTATGGTACATTATAAAGGCGGACATCTCGGATGCTAACAACTATGCCCTGATGGTCGTGTACGTCGATGACATCTTGGGATTGGGACCGAGGGACCTTTTGGTATCGCTCTTCGAAGCCATTAAGAATATTTGGACGATTTCAGAACCAGAGTGGATTGTCAAGGAGAAATCTGTAAAGTTCTGCGGCATTGAGTTGTGGGCACTTGATGACGGCTTCCGTATGTCTCAGTCGGATTACTTGAGGGAGCTATTCGCGAGGTATAACATTTCCACTGGTGCGAGCTGTCCTATGTCATCCTGGAGCGAACCGGAACCCGAGGTAGATGCAACAACAGATCTGATCAAGGAAGCCCAAGGGGTCACAGGTGCACTCCTATGGGCTGCTTCGAAAAGCAGACCGGACATCAGCTACTCTGTCTGTAAGCTTGGGCAGTACGCAACAAAATCGCCGGGTATCGTCGTCAAGGCTGGTATGCAAATCCTTAAGTATCTCTTTGACACTGTAGAGCTGGGCATTGAATACAAGCGAACAGCAGGCACAGCTTGGTTGGACACACCAATCCCGAGAACGGTTGGTACGGTAGAGGTGTTCACTGATGCTTCACACGCGCCGGAGGGGGCTAGAAGCCACCAGGCGATTATGGTGATGTGGCTTGGCAGTCTTATCGCTTGGGATTCATCCAGACAACCTTTCACAACACTGTCCAGTGCAGAGAGCGAGCTGGTGGCCATAATATCTGGGGTGTGCGCCGCGGAATCAGTCGGGGCTATCTTGGAGGAATTAGTCGCTGAAGACCTTGTGGTATCGGCGATGTCCGACAATCAAGCATCAATCCGAAGCTTCGCTGCTGGAAGCCATGGCTGGCGTAACCGCCACTTAAGAATGCGCGCGGCCTCGTGCCGCGAAAGAATCGAATCTGGTAGTCTAATTGTCTCCTTTGTACCTGGAGAGCGGCAGCTGGCCGACTTAAGCACCAAACCGCTAGCAAGACCAAGAATTATGTACCTACTAAATCTGCTTTCGATCCGTGCGAGGTCGCAGGATCAGGAGGTTGATAATCACGGACGGGTGTTGAGTAGGCTTTGGTTGACTTCGCAGCTTAAACCGGTGGGTTCAGCCCACATGTTGGCGGGGTTAGCGTTGCTTGCAGCCATACCGGAAGTGAGAGCGCAGCCTAGTGGAGATGCGGCTTTGGAGTACTATGGATGGTTTAGCTGGTTGATTATGTGGATACTTACCGGGATCGGTTTAGCTTTAGCTTGGTGGTTTGTGTTTCGCAACGCGGATGCGGACAATCTCGAGGAGCAACCGCTTGAAATATCCCAAGAGTCTGGCGTGCACGAGCTAGCTTGTCAGGGTGATCATGGGTTGTTTGATTCGGACGCACCGGGTGTGATTGACATTGGCCATGAGCCAGAGGACTCTGAAGATGAGGATTCGGATGTGTTTGACCCCGACGAGTGGCTTAAGTCCCAGGAGGCATTGATTGCGAGGGAATTGAGTACAGGGTTGACTTTTATTCAGCGGGCTAGGTTAAGGCAGCAGCTTGTAAAAGGGGATATGATTGACCCTCCGGTTATGTCGCAGAGGTATGGCCCCTTGCCATCTTGGTTCTCCGGTGCTGAGGATGCGGTTGCGGGTTTAGGATCGGGTTCTCAGGTTGGGGGGAGCAGCTCTAGTAATGATCCAGACGGGTTGGTGCCACAGACGGTTGGCGCTGGGGTTGATTTCGCGACTTCTCAGACTGGGGGGAGTAGCTCTAGTGGTGATCCAGCTGGGCTGCTGCATCAGCATGCTGCCGAAGCGCTTTTAAATCAGAGTGAACCAGCTGAGCCAAGTTTAGATTATGAGGATCTGGTCCAAGGGGACGAGGAACCGGTGTTTCCCCTAGCCCTGGTAGGAGGGTATCTAGTTCGGCATTTCTTGGTACAGATGTTGTCGGTAGAAGGGGAAAGGGTTTTGATGTTCCTTGGGGATAGGTCTGAGTCTTGGTTTAGGCTTCGGTTGACCTCTACTCAAGTTAGGTTTGGAGTAGCCGGTTCACTGGTTGAGATTCTTAGGCAAGGACCTTGGGCATTTGTTTTTAATGGGCCTCAGTGGCTACTTGCCACAGAGGAATACATCCGACGGGGGTGTGTTGACCCGGGCTTTGAAGAACCATTCGGAGCATCTCTGTCAGATGTGGCACAATCATCTCATGAGGTTCCCGTCAGTGGTGAGCTTACTGAGTTCCCCTATGTCATTTGGGCTCCTTCTGACTTTGTTCATTACCTGAGACGATTGCTGGCTTTGAACGGCGCCACTATGTTGAGCTTGCTTGGTAACCAGTCGGTCGAATGGGTGCGGCTGAGGACAGTGTCGAGATCCTTTCAATCTGGGGTCGTGCTTGCTTTAGTGGTATGGCTTCAGGGTCGAGGGATGATTAGCCGAATGCTTGACGGTCCAGTGTCCTATGACGTAGCCACCGCTTACATTACTGGGCGCATTGCGCCAGATTCCGAGAGCGAAGATGAAGCATTGGATGATTATCCGCATCGCGATCCCGCCTACCAACAGCATCCTCCGGTGCCAGTGTTTGCTCAGATGTTTCAAGAAGCTTTTGAGGAAGCTACTTCGTCTGATGCGAGTGTGACTTCTACTACCGAGCCATCGGTTTGGAGTGCGAGTTCTAGTGAAGTTGAGGAGCTTGGGCAAGTCGAGGAAGTCGCTGATAGCTTGAGTCCTTCTGCTGAGGCTGTTGCTGGGGTCCGATACGAAGCTGAAGACGGGAAGCTTTTGGTTTACTATGTCGATGATGTATTAGTTGTTCCTCTGCCGGGGTGGAGCCTCGCGCAGGTTCTGGTGGTAGTTCAAGGGCTACGCACAGGCGTTTGGGATAACTTTCAAGAGGCCTTGGAGGCTGTTTCAGGTGACGGGGCAGAAGCTCCTGGGTCTTAAGGGGTTTCTAGGTTCCGGCTAGTGGGATTGTTGGGTCTTGCGTTTGCGAGTGATTTAAGATTAGGCTGATAGTAGGTCTCTGAATTCTGGGTTCGGGGATTGGTCTGTGCGCCACGACCGAAGGTTGTCGAGATCTGCTTGAGGTGATACTTGAATGCTCTGTGACCATGTGCGGTGATCATTTCCACGAGTGCTGTCGGGCTCCCTTTTAATCACGATGAAAACAGCTTTGAGTTGGTGATGGAAGGCTGTAAGTTCCTTCCTTTTGCCCTGCAGTCAAATAAAGGCTGTGGGTACCTAGTTAGCTTGTGATGATTTCCCGTGGTAGGCAATGTTTCTCCAATTTTAGATTGGGCTTTTAGAGGTCCTGTTAAGCTAAGTCTGACAGGTCGTTTGGAAACATGCTGAACGAGGGAGATTGTCCGTTAGTGTTGGACGCTGGAGACTTGTATTTCAACTATCCCCGAAGGGGACCCTCACGAATAGCTCGAGGTGATCGGAATTGAGTCTTAGCTTTTGTCCTCAAGCCGAGTGCATAGTGTCGAAACAGGTGGGAACATCCTGAATCTCGTGCGAAAGCATGTTTTCCTAGTACCTATCCCCTGGCTCTTGTAGGACCAGGTGAGGGGGAGTGCGTGGAACACGCTATCAGGATGCTCCCTGCGCAAAGGATGACACACCAAGGTGCGCAACACGAAGGCTGTTTTTGCTCGAAAAAGTTCGGAGCCCCAGATAAGCGATCGATTAGGCCATAACATTCGGGAATCACGAAAGTCGCCAGGCAATCTTGTCCTTCGGATTGGATTCGGATTAAGTACTTGTTTGGACGTTTGTGTCCCTGGAGATCGAGGTGGCCGCTCGGATTGCAATTACTGGGTTTGGGTGGTTTAAATTACGTATATATTCCTTAATTAAGGGGTTTTGGGATCTCTGGCTTCGATAAATTCACAAGCTTCAGTCACTTTTGCCGGCCACGGCTCCGCACCGTCGGGCATCGCAGGTGTTAGGTTCTTTCCCGGCTCAGGGATTCGAGTTTCGGGGCTTTGGGTTTCGGGTTTAGGGTTTTGGCCCCTCCCCGAAGCCCTATGTCGCCGGCAACCGAAGACTTCCTTCTTGGAAGGCTTGGGATCTGATCTACGAGTTGCTTGGGCGCCGCTGTCGGAGAGGTCGGCGCGGAGGCGACCACGGGAAAACCTTCCAGGGGTACCAGGCAGGCGCAACGGGGGCTGCCAGGCTTTAAGGCCTCATAACGGTGGCTAAGTTTCAGCTTAGAGAGCTCAGTACTTCCGAAGGAATAAAGCAGACGTACCCGCAAATCATCCTTATGCCCCAGTAACCTTCTATTGTTTTAGGTAACCGGAGGTCTAGGGCTTGTCTAATTCAACGGATACTCTGCTGAACTTAGGACCACTGGTGGGAAAAAATGTAACTTTAGCTGCTTCTTAGGAATTGTAAGAGCCCAACGTCAAGAATCATCTTAAGTTAATCACCATATATATATATATATATATATATATTACCCCAGTAACCTAGTTCATGGTTGGGATAGGGCTTAAAATGAAGTACACATAACCATGTCAAATGTTACCAAACTATGGCAAAGTAACCTACTCTTTAGGGGCTTTTCTACTTCAAAGGAGACTCTTTCTTTGAGACTCGCTGTTGGGCTCTCTGGACGTCTCGAGAGATGAGGCCAAGGCATGGGGCTCAGGTGGTGGTTTGGGGTTTAAGGTTTAGGGGTTTAGGGGTTTGGTGTTTAGGGATTTAGGGGTTTAGGGGTTAAGGTGTTTAGGTTTTAGGGACGATTGGCAGGTCAGAACCCCTCACTCACCTGAATAACGGGAGCGGTACGGGACCGTCCTCAACCCTCGCTGTTCTTGTGGTTTAGGGTTTGGAAGGGTAAAGTTAGGCCTGCTAGTCTAAACTGAAGCAGGTGCAGTGTAAAGAAAAGACTCACTCATGACGAATGCAATATGGCGGGTTGAATACTGACATAGCAATAGCAATCTGCAACTACTTCATAATCAAAACCCCTCATACTCGTTGTTTGGTTGGTATCCCCGAACTCATCCACCCTCAATGACTAGAAACAAACAACTGCGGATGCCGGCACGATTTATGAAGCCCTCTAAGCCCCTTTCAAAACCCTTTACAGGAACCTTTTCGGTTCCCTACCTAACCCCAAGGGTCCAAGTACCTGATAATCATATACTCTCCAAAATCCTAACCTACATAACTACTATCCTAAAACCGTGTACCTAATTATCGGGTCCTTCGGACCCTTGAGGTAATGACAACCCCAGAGAGCCCAATACCACAAAATTAAGGAATATAGCTTAAATCATAATGTTAAGGCCCCTATAATTTAAGGTAGATTCCTTAATTCCCTTATAGAACCCCTATAGATCCCTTTAAGGAGCCCTTTAAGGAACCCTTAATTAAGGGATATTGGGCTCTCTGGGACCCCCTTCTGCCTCCTCTGGGACCGCTCCATCGAGGCTTCCTGGTTCCTGGCTTTGAAAGAGCCGTTACTGTTGATGTTTAGGGTTTAGGGTTTAGGGACAAAATCCTAGGGTTCCCTTAAAGGGAGCAATAAGGGTACCTTTAAGGGGCTCCTTTAAGGGACCTATAGGGTTTAGGGATATAAGTCCTGCACTACCCATTATCAAGAACAGACCATAGTTCCCGTAGTTTAGAGTCCTTAGGGTCATGCAGGATTTTGTCCATAAGCGGTATGACCGCCTCAAACCCTACGAGTCGTTGTTCGACAGCCGTCAATTGCATGGACTAGAGTTATCATGACAGTCAGGAAGACACGCACTCCAACCTACTCACACTCTAACCCTAAACCCTGAATCTTACCTTTGGTGAGTAGGGAATGGAGGAATGGGGTATAATTATAACTACTATTACTACCATTCTTCCATTCCCTACTAACCAAAGGTAAGGAATCCTAAACCCTAAACAAAATACGAAACTCCACAGGCCAGGCATCTGAATGTCGTGCAGCTTTGGACGTCTTCCTCGAGCTGGCCCTTTACAGAGGTGTGCAAAGCCTGGCACATTTGCGTTGTAACAGCAGCAACAGAAGTAGGAGTAGGGGCAGGAGCAAGAGGAGCAGTACAGTAGGAGGGGCAACAGCAGCAAAACTATCAGCAGAAGTAGCAGTGCAAGCAGAGCTAAACCTTAAACCCTAAACCAGTAGGAGCAGGAGTAGGAGCAGCGACAGTAGGTGGTCCTGGCATCCAGATGTGGGCCGAATGAAACTCTCTTTGCTTTAGAGGACATCAATAACTAACCAGTGGTTTTGAGGGTTCCCTTGGCTCTTTAGCTCCCAAATTGATAGGGATTATCATCATCCCTGGCTCCTTAGCTCTTCAGGGATCAGTGGTTAGAATAATCCAATCCCGATGTAGTTTGGGTATGGGAGCACTTTATGATAGTACACGGCATCCTGAACTAGAGTGTTTAAGGGCCATAAGCGATTTTTCAGCTTTGCACATGGAGCTTTCGCGGCCTATAGGGCCCACACCATTGAATTCAGTCCGAAGCTACACGACAAACCCTCATCTTCACAGTCCGAAACACACAAGCAGAGCAGGACAAATGCAAAGCCTTAGCCGGCCTGTCACGCAGCTGCCGGGTGTGGATCACGCAAGCGTGCCTGGCAAAAGAAACCTAATCAAATCCCCCATACCTAGACCCCCACTTCTAAGTGAAATGATGACCCAAAACCCACAAAATGCTATCATTCTACTGGTACATACTTGCGGGGTCCAAGTAAGACTTTACGGTTTGGGAACTACGACATGGATAGACTGAGCTGGCTTGTGGGCGAGGATTCAGAGCTCGGGGTGTAGGATTTTCATCGCAGTGCAGGGAATACTTCCAACCTAAGGGTGCCATAAACCCAAAACGGCTTCTGTTCAGGGTTTAGGGTTTAGGGGGCATGTGTTCCGGCACGAACTGACAGCTTGTAAGTCTACCGCTAGGCCGTGGTTCGATATGGAGACCTCATCCACCCACTACCCTAAGGCTCCATAGTAGTTCCTTTTTGGGATTACCTTATAGGATTCTAAATATGAACCAGAAAAAGGAACTACTAAGGAGCCCTAGGGTACCAAACAATACTAAGTAAGGCAGCTGGCACTTCTATAAAGACTTCTACTTTCCAGGTAGTCTTGTGGAAGGGGCCAAACCTAATTACTCATGTACCAATGCCGAACCCCCGCGAGTCGGTTGCTTGGTTTACCCCTTCCAGAGCTCCTAAACCCTGCCTGGCGCACGTACTCCCAAATCACAATGGAGCCGGACACGTGAACCTCGGCAAGAAATTGGTGCTGAAACCGGCACGAGGCTTTGATGTTTACAGGGTTCTTGTTAGGGAGTTTAATCAAGGGTTAGCATGATAAAGAATCCATGTCATTTTTATAGATCCCTGTTATGGTAACTTAAACATTTCTTTACGATGGATCCCTATTATGTTAACTGAATAACATTTCTGATCAAGAATGCAGTTTAGGGTTTATATGACCAACCTGCAGCTCCAAGTACCTGCTGGGCCAGGAAACAATTAAAAAAGATTTCAATCAGGTCGCAACCTACTACTTCCCGACACCTACAGGTCATGATAAGGCCTCATGAGGATCCTCCGCTATGTAGGATGAAATATGTTATGGGGGCCTCCCGTCTTTCTTGAAACTCCCATCTCGAGTTTAGGGAGTTGGAATTGTGATCATATTCGGGCAGTATCTGGGCTTTGGTGTTTAGGATCTGGGAGTGTTTGAAAGCATACGCAACCTTTGAAACAAGGAGCCCGTCACTCTCTGATCAGGGCTTAGGCTTCGTTTCATCCTCCCCCTTCTTCAATAACCGGCAGCAACAAATTCAATCTTTCTAAGGTAGACCAGATACATAAGGTTAATGAGAATGAAGTTCTCCCATTGGCTACCTAAGCCTTTAAAGGGTTGGGGGAGTCCACCATCGGCTTTGGGCACCCGGCATTCAGCGACCGGAGCTGTCCCTGCTGCGGGATCTCCACGCAGCCGTCCAGCAAGGGCAACAGCGCTGCATCGATTCCCTCCTTCTCAGCTCCTGCTACGTGCTGATGCTGATGATAGGGGTATAGCGGGTCGTTATGTGGTTAATGCGGTTTCGTGAGAGGGGCTGCAAAACCTACCTGCAACCTGTCAACCTTGCGAAATTGCACCCCCAAATCCCAGCCCTAACCTTGAACATACTGGGCTTGGGTGTTGGGGTTTTGGGGGGTCTAAAGCTTTCGACCTAAGCCCCTACCTCAACCCTAAACCACCAAACCCTCAACCCTGTGGCAGTCGAGTAGGCTTAGAGATCCAAGAGTTTGGAGGCTAAGGGCCTGCAGTCTTAAAACTTGCCCGGACCCCCCAAAGGCCCTCTAACAGAGCCCTTATGGCCCTTAATAGAGCCTTCATGAGGGAAGAAACCTTAACTTACAGAAGGATCCCTATCATGATTGAAAGTCTATTCCCTAATTTACTATTTTATCCACTACCTTCCTTGTACCCTTAAATAGAGGTATATGGCCACAAATAATTGGCATTTAGGGTCTAATAGAGGGTAGATGGAGGGTCTAGGATGGATTGTGGAAGATCTGCCAGGTTCTGACTGGAGGGGGCCACTCAAGCCTCTGCTCACCAAGCCGTTCCGCAGTGCCCGCGCGGCCAGTGGAGTGCGACGGAGCTTCCGGGGAACCGCGTACACAGGGTGTAGAGTTTCGAGTACTGCACAATGGCCCGACACTGCTTGCAGAATAATCATCCATACGAATAATGGCCTACGTCCCCGTTGCCTCCAAGCCAAAAAGAGCAAATGAAGAATCGAATTTTCAACTTTCGCCGATAATGCACACCCAATCTCGACTTTCAAACCCTACCAGCTCTGTAAACCACCTCATTCTCTTCAACACCATCCCAAGCCAAACAGACCTTAGAAGCCGCATGAAGCCTCATAAGCCCTCTTTAGAAGCCCTAACTCGACGTGCACCCTAAACCCTGAACCCTAATCCCCAAACCCTAAACCCTAATGCCTAAACCCTATATAAACCCTAACCCCTAGACCCTGACACGGGGCCTAGGACGATGGCCGTGCGCTCTGCGAACTTCCACCTGGGCCAGCTCAGCGACTCCACTTGTTAGGGGTTAGGGTTTAGGGATTAGGGTTGAGGGAGTAGGGTTTAGGGAGTAGGGTAGACCTTAGAAGCTGCCCCCACCCTGTAATAGTGACTATAAGGCTACTATAAGTCGGAAGACGGAACAAGGTGAAAACAGGGCATTCAGGGTTTCCGTACCGGTGCTTACGGTTTAGCGTTTAGAGATGACAGGTGTTTTGGATGGAGATTGCCTATAGTCCACCATTGTAGTTCTTTTCTGGGGTTACCTTATAGGATCCTTAATATATAATTGGCTCAACCAAAAAAGGAACTACAATGGAGACTGTAGTGCTCAGGACAACCAGATTGAATTGACAGATGTCGCTTGGACAAGCTCAGGTTTCGGCTAGCCAAGCTTCTATTCATCTGGGTGGTTGTCAAAATTAGGGTCCCTTTGTGGGAACCCCAAACATGAGGTGCCGCAATTATGAGAAGGACCCAAAAAATAATAATAACAACAATAATAAGAATAAGAATAAGAATAATAATAAGAATAACGTTAAGAATAATAACAATAATAAGGACCCAAAAAGGGACCCTAGTTTTGACAACCACCCAGAATCTAAGGATCTACACTCGGGTCTTTAGTGTTCAGGTCGGGGCGAAGACTTCTCGGGCTCCGGGGTCCCCCCAGTGTCCCCTTAATGATCAGTATGTCTTTAGTGGTTTAGGGTTTAGGGGTTTAGGGCTTTAGGGTTTAGGGTTTTTGTTCCTGGTATTCATTCTTTTTAATTTATTAAGGGAGCCCTAAGAGGAACACGGGGGTCTAACCCCGTGGGCTCTTGACTCCCTGACTTTCCTGCTTTCACTGCACAAAGGTAGCTAACCCTGAGGGTCCATGCACTCATATAGTATGTACTTTGACTGGAAAGTAATCCAGTTAGTACTTATATAGGCACTTTGGTGCAAAAGTATGCCGTGTGTAGGCACATGCACCCTCAGGCCAACTCAAAAAGGCTTGGAGGGTTGTACGTGAACGGACTACCAAAACCGCTTGGAAACAGAACGGCGTTGGGACGCCTGAACTCTACACCACAAACGGGCAGAACACTCAATCGCGCCTCTCACTCAGAAAGGCCACACCCTAAACCTTACACCCCTAAACCCGAAAACCTTACAGCCTGCACCCTAAACATGGCCCTAAACGACTGAGGGACCGGCTGGTCTAGTGGGACACTGGTGTGCGTCTGCTCCACGCCCACCAGCGCATAGCCTCCGCAGGCTGGCGGCCACGCACTTGCTTCGATTCAAGTTTGGAACATGGAGATCAGACAGGATGATTCCGTTGGTTTCCTTCTTTTCAGGCTTGGGCTTCTTGGGGATGCATATTCTTATAGTCCTCTAGTGGTGCACCAGCTCTACTGGCGAAACTTGTCAACCCTTCCGGGAACCGTGCGCGAACGCACACGGCGACGCCCTGTAGCACATCCGTTGAGCGGTCCGGGAAAACCGTTGAACCTGAATCTAGAACAAGGTCTGCAACCCTACTCCTTAAGCCCGAAACCCTAATCATGAGTGTCCAAAGTCCGGGGGTGACCTTTAAGCCAGGGCAAGGGGTTTCTCCATCCGCTCTAGTAATATAGGGGCCTAAATAATTACCTATACTATTTTGGGGGTTCCCTATTATAACTGTAGTATAATATACCCCCGCCAAACCCTACTCTAATTAAGGCCCCTACATTATAGAACCCGATTATGGAGCCCTTATAGACCCCTTCAAGGAACTCTTTAAAGGAGCCCTATACATTATAGAACCCGACTATAGATCCCTTATAGACCCCTTTAAGGAACTCTTTAAAGCAGCCCTATTCTAATCAAGGCCCCTATAGTATGTTTCGCGCAACCGTGCATGCGCCTTGCTGTCGCAACTCCCAAAGCTGAGCTCGAAGCTCGCCCTTGGGGACCTGGTCTCACGGTGCTTAGGTTTCTGCTTCGATCTGGTAGATGGGAGGTTCTCAAAATTAGGGTCCCGCTTTGGGTACCCTAAATTTTTAGGTGCCGTATTATTGCTACCGCAACCCCTAAAAACCTGCCTGGTTGTGCTCTTTACTATGATGTGCTTACGTGTTTCCCCAAAAACGCGGTTTTGCATGGCTCTGGGGGTTTAAGTAAGACTCCGGGCTTCCAGAAACCAAGTCGATGCAGAACGCAGTGCCTGGATTCTCCACCTCAGCTAGTATAAGGGCCTGACTAGTACGAACAGGGTTTATGGTTTGGGAACTATAAGACTATAAGGGCTACTCTGACGAATCCTTAGATTCTGCCGAAAACTGCAAGTGGTAGTGTTGCCTTCTCTCGTTCAAGGCTGAAGGGGCACATGTTCTTGTGCGGAACGACGAAGAAATTCGTAATTCAAGGAGCTTTCACATAAACCCTTAAACCTAAATCCTAGGCCCTAAGCCCTTAAACCCTAAACCCTTACACACTAAAACCCTCAACTCTGAACCCAAAACCTAAACCCTAACCCCTCAGGGCCAAGGGTCTCTGGGGCTACACCAGATCGAAGCAAAAGCAGCGTTGGATTTCGGACTTTGTCACGGAATAGCTAATGCACAGACACCACCGAGCTACATTCATTGGATTCGTCTTTAGCTGTGATCTTGGGCCAAGAGTTGAGACGTATTTCCACCACGCAGGGAGTGTGTAATGAAAGGTGTGCACATCTTCCTTACAGCGTTGACCCTAAACTGGCTCGAAATCCCATTGCTGGGCGCCGGAACTCCCCGCATGGGTAGCCACTTCTCGGCGGTGACGGAGATGGACTGGAAGGCTTGCTCTGTGGCAACCTGTGCTTGCGTTGTGGGCGTCTCCGCGGTTTGGAATTCTCTCGCTCTGTGCTACGTGCCCCAACCCCTAAACTCGAAACATATCTTACAAACAACTATTGTGGGACAGTTCTAGGGTGCAACCATGACATACATGCAGAAACCACGCAATATTCATCCAGACATTTTAACCCCAAAAGCCCGCGCCTTCAGGTTCGGGAGGCAGAGGGCCTCACAGTAGAACACCTGCCCAGAGCCACCCCGGGGCATGGAAGAACCGCCCAAAAACCCTTACCTTAGGAATGCTCTTCAACCAATACCTGGGCCTGAATACTTGCAAGAAGGTTTGTATAGGAACTACAGGGCCTTATCGCTACTGTCTATTCCGAGCCTTATATTCTATGTCATGTGGGATCCTGGAATACGCATCCAGCGGGATCTTTGCTAGAAGAGTACTGAAATTTTCTGGCTAACACCGACTGGAGGCATTGGGGACAGAAGGAGACGTGTGCTTGTTTCCGGGCTCCAAAGAAAATCTGAAGAGATTCGTCAGGTAATCCAGGGCAAGGACGCGTGTTCTTCGGCAGCTACTACGGAAAGAGAAGTTGCTCTGTACGAAGTCTCCAATCCTGGGAGTTGCTCGTTACGAATTCCTTTAATCAAGGTCCTAGAGCAAACCACGGTACCGAAGTTTTTGGTCAGACAAGTTGAGGGAGTATAATAATAGGAGGAACTGTACTTGCAAAACGGGAGTCTTTACAGCAACGGTTCAAAGTAGCTCAAACGATCATCGTCATAGTCACAACCGTAATACAATTACTGCAACCGAGAATGCAATAACAAGATTGGCTGATCGCTCGCAGTTATCATAACAAGGGCTCCTAGGTAGTGGTACGGGCGAGACTTTCCCAATTTATAGTAGTCATTCCTAATATAGCAACCCTACATTCTACCATATAGGTACCTTGGACCCTGTGGGCATAACATCTTTACGAATCAACACGGCTGCCGGCACCTCACAGGTGCGGCACAGGCCGGCCATGTTCGGCAGCTTGTCCACCTCGGCTGTTCATTTCTGGGTTCTATCTGCTTTGGGGTTGAAGGTTTGGTTTTCAAGCTTTGTTTCGCTTCTTGGTGAAAGGGCATCGACCGCTAAGATCGAAGGATGAAGGGTTTGCGAACCAAGTGCCTATGGTGGGTTCAGGGCTTTAGATGCTACAGCTAAACGCGGAACCCAAAGCCCGAATAGACTGAGGGTTTCATGTCTAGTTGTTTTTGGGCACCCTGAGGGAGCATACTAGTCGAGGATCCCCAGCAACCTAGGAATAAAAAGGGCTCCCCGCCTTTTTGGTCTAGGGTAGGTTGACGTATTGTAAAGCGATTGAGTTTGAGCAGCCGTCGGAAATAAGATCCTCTTATGCCCAATCAAGGAAAATGTTTAAACAATGGTGCCGAAGCACCTAGGCAAGGTCTTCTTTATAAGGGTTCGCCGAAGCCTTCTCTGGGGCTTTAGGGTACACCGGCGTGCACACGGTCTTGTTTCTGCGCGATTAACGGAAAACTGCAAGGGGACACTAGGATATTCTTACAGATTTTGCCAGGTCCTTGGATTACCGTTTCTTAATTGGGTTCTGGGGTTTCAGGGCTTGACGTAGGTCTCAGGGTCCAGCCAAGCTCGGAGGCTGAAGGTTTCAGGGATCTGGGCCAAAGGCTGACCCTCGTGCTATTCCAGGGACCTGTCTTGCTGAAGGGCTGTTGAACTCTCTGGGTGCTGGCCAGGTATGGTGGGTTTAGGATCTACGGTGTCACCTCCAACCTTAAACCCCTAAGCTCTGCACCCTAAACCCTCCCTAAACCCTAAACCGTCCCTAAAGCCTAAACCCTAAAACTCTGCACCCGAAATCCATGCCTCCCTAGATCCCCAGCAGCAGCCGAGGAGCCATAGATGCCACCACCACCAGCGGCAACCGGGGCGACTGCCCTGCCCAGTTGGCCATGTGAGCGGGCTGCCCTTCTCTGGAACCCACTCTTACGGAACCCTATAGATCCCTTGAGGGATCCTTTTAAGGAGCTCTTTAAGTACTTACTAAGTCCCATGATCCTCCAAGTAGGGTGTAGGGCTCCCCTAATAAGCCACAGAAATACAAGGTTAAACTTTCCGATTCCTACTAAACTCTAAGAACCCAAAAAGTTTAAATGTTATGGGGATCTAAGCGCACCCTGAAAGGATCCTTCTTGGAACCGTTAAAGGCATCTTAAAGCAACGGAACCCCTTCAAGGATCCTCAGTGTCGCCCCGAACAGTCATTCGGCAAAACAGCCCTCACAGTTCTTGAGGCTCAGAATCTGGTTTAGGCATTTGAGGGAAGATCCTTTCGAGTACAAGGGTTTGGGGCTTAGGGTCTGCATGGCCGGATGCTCTTCGAGAAAGACCGGGGTCGCCTGCTCCGACACTTCCGATGGAGTCTTCCGGCAAGCGCGGCGGGGCCGGCGGGATGAACTTGCGCTGCCTGCAGTTGATGTCATGCGAGCTGTTGGCTGTCATAACCTGCTATGTTGCATCGGTTTGGGGCTATAGGTTACAGGTAGGTCTGGCACCGACAGCTCCGCAGCCTCAAAAAACAACAGACAAGCCCCAGAAACCGTGGATGCAAGCTCCTACCCCCACACTTCCTGTAACAAAAAGCAACAAATCCTAGACCCCAACCCTAAACCCTAAACCACAAAACCCCTAAACCCCTCAAACCCCAAACCCTCCAAAAGTCAAGTCCTAGCCCTCGAAGGCCGCCGAGACGCAGTCCGCCGAAACCCATAAACCCTAAAACCCTCCCTTCAAAAAGCAAGCATTCCTACGGTTTCATGATATAAATCCTGCATTACACATAATCAGAATATATACCATGATTCATGTAGTTTAGGATCTTTAAGGTAACGCAGGATTGAGACTCTCTTCTTCAACAACCGGGCCCCAAAAAGTTCAAACTTTCTAGAATAGAGCTTATATACAAGGCCAAAAAGCTTAGAGTCCCCCCGTTCCCTATCTAAGGATATCATCAACCGCAGCGCTCCAAATTTGACTCCATTTACCCTTGGTTAGTAGGGGAATGGAAGAATGGTAGTAATAGTATGTATAATTGTACCCCAGTCCTCCATTCCCTACTAACCACAGGTAAGCCACAGGATTATTAAGGCCCCTATATTATGGTACCCTTATAGTAACCCTCATAGACCACTTTCGAAGGCCCCTTTAACTCCCTACTAACCAGAGGTAAAGATCCCTTGAAAGGAACCCTAAGCCCCTATAGATCCCTTTAAAGGAACCCTATAGATCCCTTTAAATTAGCCCTATAATATATAGATCCCTTTAAAGGAGCCCTATTCCCTACTAACCAAAGGTGAGTCGAAAGGCCGCCGAGACGCAGCCTTGACTCCAATACTAAGGCCCTCATATAAGGACCCCACAATGCCCCTTATAGTAATCCTTATAGACCCCTTGAACATGGCTATAGCAATCCTTATAGACCCCTTTGAAATGGCTATAGTAATCCTTGTAGACCCCTTGAAAATGGCTATAGTAATCCTTATAGATCCCTTGAAAAATGGCTATAGTAATCCTTATAGACCCCTTAAAAGGGAACCCGTAGAGGAACCCTAATCTAATTAGCCCTCGAAGGCCGCCGAGACGCAGCCCTGAGGCGCCGCCGGCCGCCGTAGCCTCGGCTTCCTCCTCGCGGCCGCCGGCGCCACCTCGCCACTTTTTTGGCTCTTTATTAGGGTTTAGGGTTTAGGGTTTAGGGACTCCTTTTTGCGTCTGCCCCATGGGAAGCGTCTTACCACTTTTCAGGTTTTAGGGCTTGGGGCTTACCTTCACCCGGAGTATCCTACCTGTTTAGGGTTCCTTATTATGATTTCATATGATTTCCTTATACAAGTCCTTAAAAATGTAGGTCATTCCGGGTTAAGGTAAGGATTAGGTTTCCTGTTCTCAACTTAATTCCAAGGTGAGGGTTTCGGAATCTGGGTATGTTGGGCGAGCCTGCATAGAAAACGGTGGAACATGGGTCAACCTCTTGAGGGTTAAGGGTTCAGGGTTTAGGGGTTTAGGTGATTTTTGCGGGTTCCTGAAAGGGATCTCTAATGGTCTGTTTAAGGATGTCCTTCCTAGCTTAGGGTCCGTTTCTTAAGGCTCCTAAAAGGGACCTATCAGGGTTTCTGTAACGTAAGGATGCCATGTTTTAGATGGCTTTTCGGTGATCCTTCAAGTGCCCCTCAAAGGGCTGCTTAAAGGGCTTCTATAGGCTTTCTAAAAGGGTCGCTCTCTAAATTAAGTTAGGGTCCACCTCGCCGTTTACGGGACTTTGGGTCCCTTTTTAAGGTTTAGAGTTTAGGGTCTAGGGCTCCTTATAAGGGGATCTAGAAGGCTTTCTATAGGGCGGTGCCTCGCTAGTTCTGTTGTCATTCAATCTTTGTATAAGTATTGCTTGGGGTTCAAAGTCTGGGGCTTTACCAAGAATGTTACGGGTGCTGTGGGAAATATATACTGTAATGCTTGGTGTTCACGTACTTGCGCTGTCCTCAGGACTATTCTTGAAGTGGCTACCCGAATGTCCAGGGTCGCTATTCTATCCAAGTCTACAGGAACTCCTCGGGCCAGTGCTGGCTTTTAACAACCCTAAATCCTAAACCCTGAACCCCTAAACCGACCCCCGAAGTCGCCTTGCGCAGCCTGAACCGCACGAAGGGCACATCGCTGTGCCTCCTGCTACAGGGAGAGGGCTTGCAAGCTTGTGGGGACTGTCGAAGACGGGACCAGAGTTTGGTCTTCTTCTACATTGACGACAGAGCCTCTCCAAAATGCTCCAGCTACCGAAGGAACAGCCCTCGACAAGGGGAGGAGAGGACGATGCCTGGACAAACTTGAACGAGACAGAAACACTGGCCAAGCAAATCTAGAATCTAGTAGTAGTTCGTCTTGCAGTCCGAGACATGAGTTGAAGAGAGTGATACAGGAGCCAAACAAATGTTGTCATTGCTGCGCATTCCTATCTCATAGGCTGTGTGTGGAAAATGGCGCCCCAAATCCAGACGAAAAGCTCAGGCGAAATGACAACAGGGGTGAAGGTCCTGAACCGTCATATCCCTGCATGGCCCCATAAAACCCTGAGACAACCTGGAATCTACTTGCTAAACTGCTCTGATCCCGCCCAGAGATGACATCCCCGAAAAGCCCAAACCCAGGTGCCTCCCAGTGTTCGGATGCTGATGCGTACTGGCTGCAATCCTGGCGTGGCTTTGTACAGTAGAAGCCAGAAAGTTGGAATATCATTATCCTAACCCCTTTAAGGTAAATTACAGGGTATCCTACCCTGAAACCATATTCCAACTTTCTGGAGTTCCCTTGAAGAGATAAGCATGGGCCATCAGTCTTGACCAGTCTCTGCAGTTGGTACAAATCTAAAGATGGCTTTTACGCGGATCACATTGAGGAGCTAGGTGTAGGCTCCTGCCCCTAAAAACATCAGAAGTTCAATTCCTAAACCCAAGCCCAACACCCTTGACTGTGGCAACATACCTGGAATTATGGTAGGGTCAAAACTATGGTTTAGGTACCTTAAATCTTAAATATTAGGTGCCGTACTATAATAAGGACCCAAACGGGACCCTAATATTGACAACCACCCATATCCATCCGAAAACATTATAGGGACACCACCTCGAGGCTGCTTTCCGGTCATGTTAAAGGGAACTCTAGAAAGTTGGAATATGGTTTCAGGATAGGATACCTTACAATTTACCATAAAGGGTTTAGGATAATCATATTCCAACTTTCTGGCTTTTACTTTATCCCCCTGTGTGCAGGCACCTCTGCATCGAAGATGTCGTCCATCTCCTGGTCTGATACGAGACTGTTAGGGTTTAGGGTTTAGGGGTTTAGGGTTTTAGGGATTAGGGTTTAGACGAGTGGGAAGAAAAGTGTAGGGTCTGATACGAGATTCCACGGGTAAAAGGAGGGACCCTTAATAAGGACCCCTAGGTATATACCCTTAATATAGCTATTATATACCCACTATATAGCCCATTATAGGGTAGGGGTCCCCATTAAGGGTCCCTCCTTTTACCCTTGGAGAGATTATTTTCCAAGCCTGTACCTGGCTAATCGGGCCTCCGTTTTGTATCTGGGCCTCTAGGCCATGTGAGAAGAAATGTGTGGACTCATGATAGAATCTTCCATGAATCTCCAGATCGAGACGGCAGCCACAGGAAGCCTGCTCCGCCTTTCGACCGGTTTGGGCTGAGCCTGCATGCCCCCTGAAGGGATAGTGCAGTGTATGTTTCAGCTGAGGTTTTCAGCGCCAGGGTTTATCATCCCTTCAGGAGATTGCTGTTTGGGCCCTACCAACTCGCCGAATAGGAAAGCCAGTGTCCTTGGCAACCTCCTCTTTCAGCAGCGCGAGGAAGGTTTGGGAAGGCCTCGCAAGCAGTACTTTCTCCGAGAACGGATGATGATAGTTAGGGTTTAGGGTTTAGGGTTTAGGGCAGGATTACCTAAAACCAAAAAACCATAAACAAAACCCTGAAGAAACATCTTCATCCCGAGCCCAGCAGCCCTTTGGCCCTAGCCCTCAACCCTGAACCCTGAGCCCTGAAAACTTACCGAACCCCCGATTCCGATTCCTGAGAACCTTTGGAACTGAAACAATGGCCTGAACCCTAAACCCCTAAAGCCCCCAAAGCCTTCCACCCCTAAACCCTGAAACCCTAAAGCCCTAAACTTCCCAGACCCTACATCCCTAAACCCTTCTGCACCCTTAAAACCCCACACGTGGCCTGAAGTCTCCGTCGGCGAAGAGACTCAGTGGTTGCAGGATTTCTCTGTCGGTGCTGCCTCGCATGGCAATGAGACCAAAGCCTAGCAGCCTAGGCACTTTTAGGGCCTCGGGTTTAGGGGAGTTTCTAGGGTTGGCCCTATCGGTTTAGGGTTTAGGGGTTTAGGGTTTAGGGGTTGTTTAGGGTTATAGACCCGAAATCTTTTGGGGACGGGCCCAAGCCCTGAATCTTCAAGCTTACGGTGAGCTGAACCATAGGATCCCGCCTGCGTTTCAGGGGCTTCGGCTAGGGCTGCTTCGGTTTTGGGTTTGCGGTTTAAGCCAAAGAGCTAAGCAAAACACAACAACCCACAACTCTAAAGAGCCACGGAAGACAGAAGCACGAACCCTAAGTCATTTAAAGCTACATCCCTACAAATCCTGAACCCTCCCTAACTCATCCCTGAACTCTGTATATCGGGATAAAGGGGCCTAAGCAAAGTGTTGAATAACATAAATGCCCTGATGCCAAATTTAGTCGCACTAATACTGCAGTAGTGACTCAGTAGTGTTTTTTTAGAAAGCCCCCGCCCCACAACCCTAAACCCTATATACCCTGAACCCTGAACCCCCCAAATCTGAATCTTGAGCCCTAAACCCTAATAAACCTAGGATGCCCAGTGGCCTCGGAATGTAAAGGGCTCCCTTATTTGGTATTGGGTAACTTAGTAAGGAGCCTAGGACTACAACAAGGGAGCAAGGATACTTCTGGGCTTCCTAGAAACCCTCAACCCCCCCCCAACCCCAAGCCCCAAACTCCCTATAGTACCCTTGTAGATTCCTTCTAGTACCCTTTATAGGAACCCTTAATAGGATCCCTTAAAGGACCCCCGAAACCCTAATAAACCCTCAACCCCCCCCCCCCCCCCCCCACCCAAAGCAGTCAAACCGTGGGGACCCGGCTGCGCGGCAACACCTCGCAATTCTCGGAGAGGGCCTCCAAAGCCGTCCTTGGCTTAGTAGCTGAGTTCATAAGCCCCCCTAAAAAATGTGCGCTTTTAGTTCTATAGTGGGTAATGTTATCCCAAAAAGTGTAAAGTGTATGGCTCCTTATCATGGTTTCTAGTCTATTTAAAAAAAGTAAATGCTTTAGAACAGCCGGTTTTTGGGCCACAGATAGGGCCTAGGGTTTAGGGACCCGTTGTTGGGAGCAGCTCAAGCTTTCTAGCAAATGAGGGCTTAGGGTCCTGAATGGAAACGCGTGGACTAGAGTCTCGGATAAACTACCCTAACAACACCAAAAACGACTTAGCTTAACCTTCTCTCTTCAAGCCCCCAAGCATAAACTAGACTACAGCACCTGCCTTCAAGCTAGAGACGGACAGTTCGCTCTCGACTAGGCCGCAGGCTTATTTAGGTTCAGTTGGGCTAAGGTTGTATTTCCTAAGCTTTAGCTGGGCTACCCAGTAACCTAAGAAAAAAAAGGCCTCTCTTTTTGGTATTGGGTAACTTTATAAGGAACCTAGGACTACAAAAAGGGAATAAGGGTACTACCGGGCATCCTAGTTCAGTTGGGCTAAGGTTGTGTTTCCTAAGCTTCAGTGGGGAGGCCGAGTTGGTGATAGGTCCTCTAGACCCAAGAGTAACCTAGGAATAAAAAGGGTGCCCTTTTTTGTTTAAAGGGGCTTATAAGGGAACCTGAACTCTAAAAAAGGGAATAAGGGCCTACTCTAGGTCCTAGTCCTGAACTCTGAGGCCACATCGTCTACTGCACCTTTCCGAATCCAGGTGTTCAGAATTTGCTTAATATAGGAGTTTCCGAAAATAGGGGACCCTATTATGGTAATAGTAGGATCCTTATCTTAAGGACCCCCAAAATAAGAGACCCCCCCACCACCCCCCAAATTTTCGGAAACTCCCATATTGGGGCCTTAATACTTCGAATAGGGTTTTGGGGTATTTCCTAGGGTCTTAGCCCCGAGACCCCAAGCGCCAAGCCCGACACTCCAAAGCCCAAGGGCTCTATGCGGGTGTAAAGGGTTGCTTTGAAGCTTTTTATAGGAGTTTCCGAAAATTAGGGTACCATATATTATTTGGTGGTCCTTATAATAAGGATCCTGCTGTTTAGGTTGCTATATCGGGGGCTCCTAATTTGCGGAAACACAGTAAAGGGATTTTCAGGGTCCAATGACCCAAACCTTCAGCTTGAAATTTGGAGTCTTACACTGAGCCAAGGAAAAGCGCTCTGAACCCTGAACTCCAGAGCGCCAGCCCGACCTTCTTGCTGGTCGAGAGGCTTTGACATGTCAAATTGCAGAAAGACCGGCTTCAGCCGCCTGGAAGAGAGGGGTCTGGGTTGATGAGAAGATCACCTAAGCGGTTTAAGGCCTGGGGAGGAAACTGCTTGGGGTTTAAGGCCTAAAGTTTAAGGGTTTAGAGTTCAGACTTTAAGTTTGAGTATGGCTGAAGAATGTGCTACGCGCAGTTTCATGGTGGTAAATGACCAACTCAACAAGACTTCCCCGGCAACCTTTCGCACGACATTACTGGCATAGTACACAACGTCTAGGAGATTCTCAACCCCGCCCCACACAAAAAGACTGGACCCCCAAACAGTGCTCAACGAACCCAGTGTGTCTTAATTCGGTCTTTTTGTCGGCAGGAAACTCAACAACCATGAGCCCAAACGCTCAACTCCAAGCAATACCCTGAACACAAAATCAACATCCCAAACCTGCAAATTCCGAGAACACCCCCCCCCCCCCCCCCCCCAGATCCCGACCCTACACCCTAAACCATAAACCCCTAAACCCCTAATTCTCCAAACTCCGCCTGCGCATTTTCTGGCACTCCCTGTTCGAGGCCAGGAACCGGTGGAGTTCGTCGAGAAGCCTCTCAGGCGCCAAAGCCCCTCTAGAAGATAGTATAAGATGGTGCCGCATAGTACGAGATGGTATGTCATCTTATATCATATCTCGAAGAGACTCTAGAAGATAGTATCAGATGGTACATCATAGTCATAGTATAATATGGTATGTCATCTTACATCATATCTCTAGAAGGGCTCAGTGCCCATGGGTGTAGAGTTGTTTTGGTGTTCAGGCTTTATGGTCATCTATTTTCAGGTAGTTTAGGGTTCAGGTATAGAGTGATTTGGGGTTGTAAGGGGGAAGAGCTGTTAAGCGACGCCCCGAGCACGCGAGCACCGACCAGACTGAACCCTCGAAGCTCTAGACCCGTGAACCCCAGACCAGAATATGCTGATGGAGCTGCAACTACGCTAATATTGGCTATACTGAACTTAGAACCCTAGCAAGAACTATAATTTCAGCTGTTTCTTAGGGATTATAATAACCAAAAATTAACAAATATTTCTAAGTACCCCTAAGTTGGGGGTTTCATACTTTAATACTTAGAATAGGGCTTTGGGGCCCATGATACTACAACTGTAATAAAGGACTTTCAGAACAGTATAGGCAACTATTAAGGCTCTTATGTTAGAGAACCTCGTGTTTTTCAATGACCAGAAAGCACAAGCTTGCCTGTGGTCGGCGTCGTCGCTGGGTCGCAGGGAGCCATTCGCTTTGGCAGCCTCAACGACTTCGAAGAAGCCCCAGCAGGCGGTGCCTGCAGTTTTTGTTGTAGGTCTGGGACGAGGGTTTAAGGTTTAGAGGTTTAGGGTTTGGGGGTTTCGGGTTAAGAGGTTGTAGAATCACTTCGAAGATTGCAACAGCTGCGTTAAGAGGTTTAGGGAGAAGAAGAGGAAGGTTTCGGTAGGGTGTCAAGGTCTTTTGGGAGTAAGGTGCTTAGGACTACCTAGACCCCCAAAAGTAATTAGGTAAAACAATGGCACAGACCCTTTAAAAAGGCTATTATTCTACATACTTTGAGGGTCCAGGTATAGGCAAGTCAAGGACTTCGGACCCATGGTTTAACAGTTTAACCTAAACCTTGGCCGATGCCGCTAAACCCTAAAGCCCTACCCTAGGCTTTCAGCCAGGGTTGATAATTTCAACAAGGGGGTTTAGGGTTTATAGGGGGCTCTTAGAGCTACACGCACTTGCCGAGTTCTGCATTTTGCTGTGGAGTGAGGATGCCGATCAACTCTTAGGATCCTACTTCAGTTCGTGCTTCCGGACCGATTGCACCGTCCAATGTCATTGTTCATGGTCATTGTTCATGTCAGGAAAGCTTAGTATGATAATATCAGTATCTGCCTCGGGCACTGATGAGAACAGTTATTACGCCCATGTTAGCGGAGGACAGAATCAACCGCCCGGATTTCGTGATACCGGTATTGTATATGGGCTGCGGGCAGTTACAGCGCCTACCGGGCATGAACACATGTACACAAAAACGATGCTGAGCAGCACTGCAGGGGGCCAGCATGGTATGCGTTCCGCTGTTGTTGAAAATCTTCTTCAGGAACTCAGCGATCTGGTCCAAGGTCCATCCTGCCAACCATAGCATAATCTCTCCGATGCTCTGTGCTAACATCGGGTTGAGCTGGCGATCGGAGGCTTTGGCGTCAGGGGCCATGAACCCTTTGTGCACTGGATCCCCATCATCGTCCTTTTGCGTTCCGCTGTACACCGGTAGGATGATCGTATCGCCAAGCACAGCGCCACCGCCCACAGCGTTCTGCACAGAGTACTGCAGCGACCAGACAAGCTGTTGCAGTTCACCTCCAAACAAAGACAACCCATTTGAGATACAGCTTGAAACCACAAAGATATGTCCTGACCTCCGAAATTCACCACCCCAGATTCTAGACAATGTGCAGGGCTTAGGGTTTAGGGGTTCAAGCTTTCAAAACTTCAGAAAGACTAGCTGGCAGGACTCAACCTTGGAATGAATGCCCTGCTACCTGACACTACACCCAGAAACACTCGAACCAGAATCATGACACGACAACATTGCTACGATGCTGAGATTTTGCCGGGTCGACGCTCCCTTCTTGCTGGGTTAAGAGGCCGAGAGAAATCATGGATGCAGGCAGGAGAACTCTAACTTGGCACAATACGAGATTGATGTTCGAAGCTGACTTCTGGCTGGACCATACATGCAAGCAATTACGAAGACCTGGGTCTGGACGGTTTAGGGTTTAGGGACTTTGCCATCGATCTCTGGAAGAGTTTCACGACGTTGTCTAGTGCCGGATACGTAACCTCGAGCCAGGAACTCTACAGGAGTCGAAGGCACCAAACATCCAACGCAGGTTACTTGGAGGTTCATGGGTAGTTATGAGTGGGGTTATAAGTGGGGTTATAAGTAGGGTAACTATACTTATAACTCCTATTCGGGGACTTATAACCCTACTTGTGACTACCCATGAACCTCCAAGTAGGGAAGTTGGGCTCAGCGCTTTCTGGGGCTCAAAGCCCTTGAGAGGTGGAGGTGAAACTGTACGGTTTCAGGGCTCGGGTCTTGCCTGAAGACGTAAGAGTTGGCTTTAGGGTTTAGGGTTAATGTCTAGGGTTTAGGGTTTAGGGCTAATGTCTAGAGTTTAGGGCTAATGTCTGGGGTTTAGGGTTAACATTGCCTGAAAGAGCGAATATGCGTCATCCAACATGATACGGAATCCGAACAAGTAGGCATATACTCTGAAGTATAACATAAAACTAGACATAGCTAAACCCTAACCCCCCCCGAACAGGGCAGCTATGGTTTGCCAGGGTTTTCCTTGCCTATAGCACATCCTAACCACAAGGCTAAGCCGATGAAAACGGGGTAGGGCATGATCCTACAGGCATGGCTGCGAGTGCCAGCGAAGGGCCTCTGACGTAGGCGGAGTTGTGGCCCAGGTACGGAACCTTTTCGAAGGATGTTACTGTCAGGCAAGGTCTGATTAAAGTAAACCCCATGAAGTTGGAAACCGGATCAAAACCAAATAGTGCTGGGATTCCCTATACATCACTCTTAAGGATTGAAGCTGTTGGGTTTCCAACTTTCGGGCTTCTACTGTAGGGTGTCCCAGAGAGCCCAATACCCCATGGGGTATTCTACAGGGCTTTCCAGCGCTTTCAGAAGCCTTTGCTCCCGGGTTCTAATAGGATTTATTTAACGGTTTAGGGTTTAGGGTTAATTTAATATATGATATATGATTAAAGCTTTTGGGGGCGGGGGGCACAAGGGATACTATATTACGAGTTTTTCGGACCTCGATATTAGGGGTCTTTGGGGCTTCTGCAGCTGCAACTGCCTGCGAATCTCTGTAGCTTTATGCGAGGAGCTATACCCTCATGCACGCCCATGATTAGTACACCCCTCTTACAGGAATCCTATAAAACCCCTTATATACAGGAACCCTCAGAACAACCCTAAAGGAATCCTATAATACCTCTTCTAGGAACCCCTCCCTGAACACGGATTCTCATAAGGATCCTAAAATATCAAGGTTTGTTAAGCCGGGCATTTTGGGGCTCTGAGAACCCTTATTTTGGAACTTGCTGGTCGCAAAGTGCGGGGTAGAGACCTAGCAGTATATATAATTACCAGCTCCTAGACAGGCTGAACCAGGTCATGCCATGTTTGAAGGCCTACTGTGAGGAGGAAAACACTGTCCCGCTAAGGAACGCGGACCAGAATCAGAAGAGAGAGGCCGCTGCGACACGGGGTGCAGATACACCGTAAACTGAAATGCCACACCTAGACCTACAGGTAAATACTAAACTGCCCTAAGCCCTAAACTTAGCCCCGCATGCTCAATCTGGATACCTCTTGACACCCAAACGCTCCAGGTCGGCACCCTACTAATTTCTACGCGACTGCACTCAAGTCGCAAGTCCTCACAACCCTAGTCTCCCCAGACCCCCGGCAAAATCTAGAAAGTAGATCCCCTAATTTGGGGCCCTATACTACTCAGGGTACTTTATAGGAACCCACAAAAAGGGATCTACTTTCTAGATCCTCCCGAAATTCTGGGTCTTGGACCTGAAAGGCCTCTGCGACCAAGGGACCACGGACCGAGCAAGAAAGCCCCAGTAGGAAGGCAGCGTTGCCCGGGTCCACTGGCGAAACAGGTAACTGGCAATCACCTGAGGCTGGGGGCCATAGGGGTTTGGGGCTCACTGGTTGAGAGTTCCGCTATGGGATCTATACCTAGAGCCCCCCCCCAACTACCCTCTACTATACCCTAAATGCCCACTATTAGGGACCATACAAGTTCCATTAAAGGGCCATCCTGGGAGGTCCTGGTAAGATAAGGAGCCTATCGGGGTTTACCTATAGTCTCCATTGTAGTTCCTTTTTCTGGTTGACCAGTTTTATGGTTAGGATCCTATAACAGAGTTTTTGGTTAACCAAAAAAAGGAACTACAATGGAGACTATAGGTAAAGTTTAGGGACTCTGTCTTGAAGATTTCGGCTCCGCGGCTGCAGCAGCGCAGGGCCTCAAAAAATTGGGTCCGAGTGTGATGGACGGTGAGACTTTCTAGGGCTTCTGGGGCTTGTAATAGGACCAAAAAAGCACATAAGCAAAAAGAAGGACACGGATATCCCCTAAAAAACCACCTTAAAATGAAGCCCAATAAGGTAGGGATATCCGCATAAAATGTTTATGCTTATGTGCTTTTCGGGTCCCTAATTGTAGGGTTTGGGGCTTTGTGATTTAGCGGTGGTGACGGTCTCAGGTCGAGTTATTAGAGTTTACCTAAACCCCACGGAACCTACCTTCTGATGGACTTATATAAAGACATCATGACAAAGCCTTACTGTGGCCTTAACCCTTAAACATAAAAATTGGAACTGCCTGCAAGTCCACCACGCGCAAAGTCTTCATGTTGAAGACTCTTTGGAACACCTCACACTAAAAGACCCTTATGACCTCCTGAAGTCGTTTGATGGATGACCCTACGCCACCAAGCATGAGGCTCCGGCCAGGAGCGATGCGCTCACTTGGTTGTTGCCTTGGGTCCGCCGGTTTGGGGAGGAGCCCTGAAAGCCCATAATCAAATCCTAAGAGCAACCCTTGAAACTCGAATCTATAACCCCTTAAACTTTTACGGAGCTCTTTCTGGTTTAGGGTTTAGGGTTGGTATGGGCCGCATATCACTCCTTGTCTACAACGATCTACACCGACATGAACCCATATAAACCAAAATAATCATGTTAAGTATTGCCGAACACCCCTTCTCTGCAACACTGAGAACCGAAACGATCCGTATATACATGTAAATACATGAGCTCTCATCCCAAACGCCCGACCTGACCGATCCAATCTCAGGAAGGAGGGTGGCGCACACCCGCAGCACGACTTGCAGGTTGACTTTCGGGCGGAAGAGCAGGCGGCAGGAGGAAAGGAAAAGGATTCGTACATCCGCATATCCGTCGTGTCACGAATTTTCAACCTCCATCTGCACTTTTCATAGACGAACCTTGCAAAGGGTCAGTGACAGGTCGCCAGTCCGTAGGCATCCATGAAACTCCGTAGCCAGCCGGCCCCGGCATGCCGCGAAACTCCCATTGCTCTGACATCTTAGCCTGCTAACTTGTGCAAATATCTCCAGCCGTGAGGAGCTACGGGCCGAGCGAGGTTGCACCCCTGCTCAACGTGCTTGGTGAATCTTCTCTGCCAGCACACACTTCCAACCCCAGCAAGACCCTGCCAAGTGCAACACGTGCGATGCAGTCACACTGCAGGCTGCTTGCAAACATGTAAATCTGCAAAACATGGGGTCTGGTTTGATTTTTTTGCTGAACCAATGAAAACAATGATGAGTCTCATAATGCAGAGGCCGACCCAGCATCAAAATGCCAAGGATCATGCATCACCTTTGTCATGCTATGCAGTCTACATACATAAAACATTCAAGCGATCGGTCTTTCATATAAGTGATGGCTCGTCAGCGGTCAACGCTTGGCGGCCTCGCATTTCACAGAGACAGCTGAGCCCGGCTCGCAGCTGCAATCTGGGTTCTTCAAGTCGCTCCTAACAGGCTTCGTTCTTCCGCACATGTGTCCTGGCCTTCCTCGCACATTCAAGCGATAGACAAATGCTGATATTATCAAGACATGCCATGCGAATAACCCACAGATATGTAATTGATTGCCCAGCTCTCGATCTTGATGGTGTGCATGCCGCCTCATGCAAGGCTCATGATCAAGGCAACAGGCCAAAGAATTCCCGCAGCCGAGCCAAGCCGAGTGAACCTTTCTGCCGCTGCCGGACGCGGGGTTTGTGTAAGCTGGCGGCGCTTTTTTGAAACAGATCAAGCAATCGAAATCCGACACAACCCTTTCTTCGTGGTTTGTCGACAACATCACGAGGGTTGTGCCTAGCGGCGGGTTTAGGATGCCCAAGAACTCTCTGCGGAGTTCGTACGCTGTGATGCCCTTCTCCTGGCCAATCTGCTCAGCGATCTCGATCTGGGCTGCAATGTTCCCCGTCGCGGCATATGTTTGGGCTTAGGACTTTAGGGCTTCCGTGGGCCTTGGGCTAACAGGGTTTTGAAGGGGTCTTAAGGTTTTGGGGCTCGGACTTGCATGCCGTATTTAGATGGTCCTTAAGGCAGCGTGGTTCGAGGGGGGAGGGTACAAGGGATCCTTAGGGAACCTTAAAAGGGAACCTTCGGGAGCATTAGAGAGAATTAGGGGTTACGTAGTAGCTTATCTACCCCCCTTTGAGCCCCTTCGCCTGAGGATGCTATAAAAGTCTTGGTGCTCAAGGGTCGGGTTTAGGGGTTGGGTTTAGGGTTCAGGGTTTGGGGTTTAGGGTTTTAGGGTTTAAGGTTTGGGGTTTAGGGTTCAGGGCGGGCTTTGGATTTTCGTCTTTTGGAGGGTGGAGCTCAGAGCGGCAGGGTTCTCTTCTATACTCGGTGACTGCTGCGAGTGGCATGTTGCAACAGCGAAGGACGAGAATCACCGTTCTGACGGCCAGGCTTAAAGCCATCTGCTTCACTTCATGTTCAAGCGTCTTGAACCCTCTGCAAAACTCGCTTCCTTCATCATTGAATGAAGACCTGCTCTCAGTCTCAGAACATTGTGGAAACCTGACATAAACTCTTTTTGTACTTCGTACAGACTTGGGCCCCTTAAGATAAGGACCTGCAACCCATCAACAATGCAATCCTAAAGCCCGCGATCCCTCCCTTCAAAACAGAATCTCCGAAACCCCCACAACCTTAACTCACAGCCCTTTACCTTGAACTCTAAACACCCCAAAACCCTAAAGCCGCAAACCCTTAAAACCGAAGCTTGATGTTGCAGCCTAGGCGCAGTCGTAGACCTGTAGGGCCGGTATCAGGAGCGGCGTTACTGCAAGATCCTGGTCTCGGGGGAATATGGGAGTTTCCGAAAATAGAAACCCTAATAGAGGACCCTAAAGTAGGATCCTTGTTATAGGGACCCACAAATAAGGTACCCGAAATTTTCGGAAACTCCCATTTAGGTAGCTCACGCATTTTTGGCATAGGCGTTTAGAACATTGCCATCACTCATGCTGCTGCCAGTACTTCTACCAGTACTGTTCCGAATTCCTCCTACGCGTGTCTACATCATATGCTACCATGCATCTACAGGTGTTGTCGGTCGTCTTGTTGCTGGTGCTGTCGCATTTGTTTTCATTGATATTATTGTTCTTCTGTTCGTGACGCTCTCCTCAGAGCCTGCCAAGTCAGTTCAGTACTACAACAGGGTTTACCTAGAGGCTCCACAGTAGTTCCTTTTGGGGGTTCATATTTAGAATCCTATAAGGTAATCCCAAAAAGGAACTACTATGGGGCCTTAGGGTAGAAGTTCAGGGTTTACAGAGAAGCAGCGGAAGCGAAGTGTTGGTGGCAGAGCGAGCCCGAAACTGTAACCAGCATGGGAGTTTCCGAAAATGGAGAAACCCAACTATAGGACCCTAAATAGTAGGACCCCTATTATAACTGGGCTACCCAGTAACCTAAGAAAAAAGAAAAAAAGGCCTCTCTTTTTGGTATTGGGTAACTTTATAAGGAACCTAGGACAACAAAAAGGCAATAAGGGTACTACTGGGCATCCTAGATAAGGACCCCCCCTAATTTTCGGAAACTCCCGCATTGCTGCAAGTTCGGTGCCGGGATTTGGGAGGCAAGGGTCGAGGCTCCTGGGAATTGGTCTTAGGCTTTGGGGTTTAGGGTTTAGGGTTTTAGGGTTAGGGTTTTGGGGTTAGGGTTTTAGGTTTTAGGGTTTTAGGGTTAGGGTTTAGGGGTTTAGGGTTTAGGGGGTTAGGGTTTTAGGTTTTAGGGTTTAGGGTTTCGGGTTTAGGGTTGGGGTTTGGGTTTCAGCAGTCTCCCTGAGGGTCCATTTGTAGGGACTGCTTTAAAGGCCAAAGTATGTACTAATTGGGCACCTGGACCCTTCGGGGTATCATCAACAACTAAGCTGAATTAGCTTTAAGAAACCGTGCCAACCGTCGAACCGAACCGTACCAAGCGAACGGAGTACGGACCGACACAGGTTCATCAAAGGTTAGGTTCATGGCAAACCGTCCCGAATGGAACCGTGGCCACCCGAAGCTTGGCAGCTAGCAGCTCCTCGAAGCGTTCGCAGAGAACGCAGCCCAGCAGCTCTTGGTAGTCACCTGAGGGCTGTTCTGCAACATGCCATGGCCCGCCCCCCAGCCCTGAGCCACCCACACACTCAAAGAAAACAAAGATATCGTATGTCTTGCTCTGAGTCTTGAAAAGAACAAGCTGGCACTGAGATTTCAAGAGAGAAAGCAACGATCTATCGGGTGAGGTGGTCGGGAGTTAAACATGAATGAATGGAACACCCATAAATGTAGGATGACCGACACCGCGCATCACTATGTGCGTTCAATAAAGAATACACTTAATTGCATGTACTGGTTTCCGGTGCATGGAGACAGTATAGCGACCTTGGGGGTGTATGGGTGCGGCATCGCAGAAACTGGGAAATGCACCTTGCTAGTTGTTGGACTCCCAACTTAAACCCAAATCGCTTGCAAAGCTGTTTGACAACGGTTTTAATGAAAACCGTAGGTGGGGCCGCTGGTAACTGCTTTAAACCCCTGTTCCCCCTGACCGCCAAGGTCGGCGCGGACATCTGGAAGGTGGGGAGTCCTGTTGCTACCAAATAAAAGCTCACCACGGGCTCTCAGTTGAGTTGTGCTTCTAGGATAGGTGTCCTAAGGAGTTTTTAAGCTAAGGGTTAGAGATTCAAGTTTCGGATATGAGATCTGGAGACGACTTTGTAAATGCCAAAACGGGCTCCAGTGCCGGCCAGTGTCGGCGTTTAGGGTTCACGGGCATCTGTTGTGGTTTCGTCTCACAAGGTCCGTGCATATATCTCGAAGCAAGCTTAACACATTCCACCTGATGAGCCACCAATGACAGCTGCAACAAACTTGGGTCATCGATATGTACTCAGATCATGCAAGACGCTAACGAACCCTAAATCCGAAACATGAAAAACAGCCTAAGCGCTGAAAGGGTTGAGCTTCGAAAACGAGCCCGGGAGGTATTTGCCTCACGACTCCAATGGGCCCAATGTATATGTAGTATTAAAGGATTTTCCAGCATAGGGTGTTGCAAATGGATTGCTACCATAAACACTAGACCCGACAGCCCAGATGAACCCCGTACAACAAAACTGAACTCAACTCCTGAGCGAAAACCATTTGAAGAGTAGACCCTATCCACCTTACACCCTCGGCTCTGAAAAAACACGCTGGAGCCCTCAACCTTAAAGCAGAAACTATTGTTGAATGCGCAACAAAAGCCCCAAAACACCCCTGTCGACCGCTGTAAAGGAGCCAGAACTCGAAAGCCCAGTCCTCTATAATGGGAATATGATAGCTATATTAAGGGTATATACTTATAGGGGCCTTGTTAAGGGTCCTCAAATGCCAAAACAGCTCCACGAGGAGCTCTTCAGCCGTAGCGCGGTCGGCATGGCAGCCCAAGACGAGCACCGCCTGCTGAAAGGAGAGGTTCAGCTTTTATCGAGATTTAGGATTCAAGGGTCTAGGTTTTGTTTTTTTCGTCTAGGGTTTTGGGGCTTCGGGTCTGAGGCTTTGTCGAGTTTGGTCGGGGGCTCAGTGCATAGCAAACACTCGCACGGGTTTTCAACTCAGGACGCCCAACTGTCTGTCTGGTTCTTAGTAGGGAATGGGGGAATGTCATTATCGAGACGATTATTATAAATAGCGACTATAGAGGGACTACTATAGGGATCCATTCTCCCGTTCCCTACTTTCCTACTAGGCACCAGACAGCTGCCAGGCCTCACCTGACCTTCCTGAAGAGGTCCAAGCACACCCTGATTTGGAACCCGCAAGTTGAATATCCTGTTCTAAGTCTCTCGAAGGGTTCTTAGATGTATCCTGTTCGAAATCAAAAGCAATAGATTCTGGATCAACCCGAAACCTTAGACCCAGTCAAGTAAAATCCAACATTCAAGACCTTCAAACTCTTCATCTAATAGCTCTAATCCTGTCAGAAGGTAAGCAGTCATAACGTATGCTCGAAGATCCCTGTGCAGAATCGGTACAGTAATCCCGAAGAGCAAAAACAACACAGCCGAGAAAGCAGCCGATAGCCTTAGCCTTATAATGTCTTCGAGTAAAGCTGAACCCTGAACCCTGACACTTTCAGTCTCCGCGCCTGCCAGCCACGCAGTTGTAGCCGGTGCTGTGCCTAAGCTGCAAGTTGTGAAGTTGTGAAGTTCGGAAAATTGCTGCACACCTGTCACTTTCCAACAGCTGCAGTGCTCAAACCATCTCTTAAAATTAAAATCGGCCAGGTGCAGTGTCGGTGGCATGGTTGCCATCAAGCAATGACCAGTGAACTCTGGCAGCTGCTGGCCACTACAGTTATGGGTCCAAGACTTGTGCTGGCCCCTGCTGTTTAAATAATTAGCCTAGATCCTCCAAGAACTTGGCCCAAAATCACGTCCTCCTTGAGATCCAGATGTCTTTTTTCATCTGGAAGCCAGAACTCGGCCCTGGTGAACTCGACAACACGGCCGTCGCATTCCATGGTGCCGCCGATGATGCGCATGAGTTTGGCGTGGTAGTATTTTCGGTGCGTGCTGTCCCTGATGTTCGCTTCAGCAAGATCGTCTAGGAGCCAGTCATCCTCATCATCCTCGGAAGGAACGCCACCGGGGAAGATGTAGCACATCTTTCCTTAGCTGAAAGATCTTAATGCATGCATTTTACGTGTTTTTACTTGCGCAATACAGAATCATCCGATATGCCTGCAAGAGTCCTTGGTACAAACGGAAATCGTTCATTCGGCCCCCGGGTGCACACCGGTGCTTTTGCCATTCGTGCACCCTGATCCACTTCCACCCCAGGAGGGAACCACACCAGGTATACACAGAGCAGCAAGAAACAGTTGCCAAAACTGAGAATATCTGTAGGCAGGTCCTGAAGTATTTGGAGTCGGCAACGTCTACGACCTCTTCCACCTCCTTCGGCAGAAATCCGGAAAGCGGATCATGTGCTGATGGCAATTTCCTTGGTGTGGTTGTTGTTCCAGACTCCACCCATGAGGGCAAAGCAGGAAAAATATCCGGGCGATCAGCATCAGGCAAAGTGCTGCATCCCACAGATAAGGAAGATAGTAGCACCAGAGAGAGCACGGACATGAGGCACACACACACACGCGAAGAAGGATGATTCGGGAGCCCTAGTCAGTCATGCATTCGGAATTTCTCTCTTCGTGCAAAACTCAGCTTATTGAACGTTTACAGAGCCGTGCAGCGCTCGAGGAGGCAACCGACACGGTGCTGGAGACAACTCCTGGCCATACAACAACATGAATGACTCATGCTCGGGCGACAGTCTGAGAGGAACTGACCAAAAGCCCGCGGCAGAAATGAGTGTTTGATCACATGCACACCTCAAACCAATTCCGTCCAAAGAGTCGTGAAACCCAGGCTTAGCGGTTTAATGCGGGCCGTGTTAGGGTACTTGATGGTATTGGTGTCGCTCGCTTGGGTTGCGGGTGGTTGCAGTAATGAGCCTGCAGCGAGGTCCAGACGGAATGTGGGCACGACCCTGCCTAATGTCGGTGGGTGCCTCAAAAATTTCCGAGACTGTATTGGGGTTCCCTAATATAATTGCAGCAAAATACACCCCAACACCCTAGTCCAATTACTAAGGCCCCTATACTAAATACTTATAATAGCCCTTATAGCAGCCCTTTAAAGGAACCCTACCCTAATTATAGATTAAGACCCCGACATTAACTTAGGAGTAGTTCTCAGTTCACGTGTTCAGACCGACAGGGCGCAGTTCAGGGCTCTGAGATTTCCTCAAAGGCATCTATAAGGGGTTCTAGAAGGGATTTAAGGAACATAGCTTAAGTTATAGTAGGATCCCGGATATGATTTAAGGTCTACCTATAGTCTCCATTGTAGTTCCTTTTTTTGGAAGTTTAAACAAATATTTAATAAGGATCCTACAAGGTACCCCAACAGGGAACTACAATGAAGACTACAGGTAAGCCTCAAGTCTCGCAAGCACTGTAACATAGGGTCCTTAATAATTAGACTAGGGTTCCTTGAAAGGGGTCTTTAAGGGCTACTATATAGTAGATATGGGTTACTATAAGCGGAATTATCGGGGGTTGCGTGTCGGCGCCTTAACAATTTAATACTTGGAAGAGGATTTTTTTGTACCTTTTGCCAAATTTAAAATAAGGAACCCCAGAATAATATAAAGGTACTTACTAAGGCCCCTGTGTTGAACTCGGGATGCTCCCCGCTGATGGTGCAGGGTCTCGGGAACCCTGGGGAAGCTCAGCGGAGCTGTTGAGGACGACTTTGGGACTTTGGGCTTTGGCCAGTTTGTGGTTTGGCATTGTGGGATTCCGTGGCTGGGGCTCATGAAGCAACTATACTGAACTTAGAACCCTAGCAACAATTATAACTTTAGCTGCTTCTTATAAATTACAATAACCCCAAATTAAGAATTATTTCTAAGTACCCCTAAGGCAAGCTGACCAAGCCAGGGCACACTGAGGGGCATTGGCGTCAAGGGCTTGTTGGTGCCCGCCGGCCTGCCATCCCCCATGCTATATACTTGAGTCAAGTCAAATGGTTTAGGGTTTATAGGGTTTAGGGTACCTCAAAACCCTGCTGAAACACGAGAAGCACCGAATCCTCACCGCAACTCTGACTCTTGAATCCCGAAGATTGTGTACCCGAAGACATGCTCGCAAAACGAAGCACTCTGATGCGGTGGGCCCCAACCTCGAAAGCTGTGCCCTGCCCTCCCCACCTGTGTCTTGTCGTAAGCCGAATTCCGAGATGCGAAGCTCTTTAGAGTCTGTATTATTTTACACAAACTGGGCCCTACAACCTGAAGCCACAGCCAAAACAAACCCTTGCATGAAGCTGCTACGCCGGAGCAGATATGGCAAACTCTGCAGCCCACTTATGAGGAAGACGGGCAAACAAGCAACCCTTGAACTCTAAAACGTAAACCCTGCACCCCCTTACTCTTAACCCCTGAGTCCAGAATCGTCAACCCTTATAAAGTATCCAAAAAGGCCTGTCGATGATCAGCTGAAGCTCCTTGCAAGATCTTGGCTTCTGGGTTTAGGGTTTGCGGTTTGGGGTGTAGGGTTTAGGAATTAAGGGTTTTGTCATTGGGAAGGTTTCGGGGTGGGGCTGAGGGCGCGGGGCTTAGGCATTGGGGTCTATATAGGGTTTACTATAGGGTTCACTGGTGCCCCTGACTGAGATTTAACACTCTTCGCCGTCCTTGCGCAGCGCCGCAAGGAGGCGTGCCAGCACCTGCCGCACGCTTTAGGATCTGGAGGTTTCAGCGGCTTAGAGTCTAGGTGAGCCTGGGGTGTTTGTTTCCTGTAAAGATCTGCTTGCGTAACGCAGTACTGCTCAGAATAGGGTGTCGGTGTGAGCTTATAGCCGTTCAGAACATAGCACATTAAGATGCACAAGCGCATGCACTCTCCGCAGCTCGGTTGGATGCTCTCAGGGCGTTGAAGTCTCGAGAAAAAACATCCTTGTCACACAACATGAACAACGATGCGAAGGGTGCTCATGCTTGGAAGGGGACTCCAAGTAGAGTCTGATGTGTGCACCGAACACGCGTCTCAGTGCCTGCCACTGCTTCGATGCATCCTCCTCCCCGGGTCGGAATCGTTGTGCAAAACCATATCGTTCTTCTATTCGGGAGTTTCCGACAATAGGGGACCCTAATATAGTACCCTAAATAGTAGGATCCTTACTATAAGGACCCCAAGATAAGGTACTCCCCCAATTTCCGGAAACTCCCGCATCGGTTGCCCCGCGCTCGGCTTCATCCTTGCTGCCAGCTCTTGCCCTCGCCTTCCCTTTGGAAGACCCTGACCCTAAACCCTAAACCCTAAACCCTAAACCCTAAACCCTAAACCCTAAACCCCTAAACCCCTAAACCCTAAAGCCAAAACACTCAACCCTAAACTTACTAAACCCTAAACCCACCGGTGCGAAAACACGCGACACTAGTCACCAACACAGACCCTGAACGGTTGATGATATAAATCCTGCATTACCCATAATAAGGAATATACCATGATTCCCATAGGTTAAGGGCCCTTAAGGTCATGCAGGATTTCAACATCATCATCAACCCTAAACCCTACAACCCTATAGATCCCTTAAAGGAGCCCCTATAAAGGTACCCCTTATAGATCCCTTTAAAGGAACCCCTAGATTTCTATCATCAACCGACTTATATCATCAACCGAAGTAGTCAAACCAGGCAGTCAAACCAGGGCCTGAGCACCAGGATCCCTATAGTAACTTAGAAGCAAAATGAAGCAAACAAGACTATAGAGGGTTCCTTTAAAGGGATCCATAAAGGCTCCTTAAAGAGATCTATAAGGGTTCTGTATAAAGGGGTTTAGGGTTTGCAGTAGAAGCCCAAAAGTTGGAAACCCAATAGCCTCAATCCTTAAGAGTAATGTATAGGGAATCCCAGCACTATTTGGCCTTAATCCGGTTTCCAACTTTATGGGGTTTACTATAGTAACCTAGAAGCAAACTCCCCCCCCCAATGGGTCGAGATTTACACCGGACCTGCGCCCTCGGACTCACGTTCCCAGCAGATATATCAGAGTGGTTGTCTAATTATGGTCCCTTTTAAATTTCGGGTCCCTATTATAGTACGGCACCTGCTATTTTGGGTACCTCAAAAGGGACCTTAAGTTTGACAACTACGCGTATGAAGATGTCTTATGGTCTTGTATGATGCAATGATAAAGCTTAGGCCAGGGTGTATTCTCAAGGTTTATAAGGTTTGGCAGATGCCCCAAAGCACCTCGTGTCAGGTTCCAACCTGGTTGTATACCCTGCCGGTGCTTGCAACCCTGAGACTCCGAAATACACCATGGGCTATGCGGAGTAGTCACAACAGTAGCAGGGAGCCTCAAAAAAAACGATGCGGAAGTGAACAAAAAACAATAAACTTAGGGCCGGAAGAAGTTGGGAGCAGTATCCCTGACTTCTAGTCCTGAAAAGGTTAAAGCACAAGACGCCCCCCCACCCCCCAGTGCATGACATGGGAGAGTCTCTGGGAAAGGTGACCCCGGACCTGTCGGATGATGCCGGGGAGGGGGGAGCCTGAAGCAAGCTGCAGGAATGGTTCGTGGTTGAAGAAGGGTCCCTTTAAGCGCTCCTTCAAGGGTTCAAAGGATCTAGAAGGGTTTAGCATTCGTGGTCAAAGGCTTCTTCACAGTTGGGGGGGGCTAACTCGAACAGTAAGCCATTCGGGCTTGTCTTCTGGTAAAAGCCTACAAACCTCAGACCCCCAAATCCCTGTAACCCTGAACCCTCATAAATCCTAACCCCGTATAACCCCTAAACCCCTGAAACCCCAAACCCGAAACCCAGGACGTCAGGGGGCCTCAAACGCATCCCCAAAGGCTGTCAGCCTTGAGGGTTTAGGGAGAGTCCCAAACCCTGAGGCCTCAGTTGAACCGGTTCAACAAGCCACAGAAATAAGAGGTTAAACTTTCCGATTCCTACTAAACTATAAGAGCTCAAAAAGTTTCAAGGTCAGGTATTGGGGATCCAAGGGAAGGGACTCGGTTCAACTTGGGTTTCGGATGCGGAGTCTGGCGGTAATTAAGGAGGGTTCCTGTTTAGTCTATTCAGAGATACGGGAGTTTCCGAAAAGAGGGGAAATTAATGTAGCCATATAGTACCCTAAATAGTAGGATCCTTGCTAGAAGGGCCCCAAAACAAGGTACCCCCTAATTATCGGAAAATCCTACTTCAGAGCTCCATCTGGCTCCACGTGCACTTGCTCGAACGCACCAAATACGCGGCCAACGGACTCGACAATGTAGGTTTTCATGCTTCTGAGGCCCAATGCTTGTGGAATTTCTGGTGAAGGAGTCTGAATCTTAATCCGAAACTGTGGAGCAGGATTGGCACCCGAATAACCAACCAGGTTCCCTCACTGCTGGGCATTAAAAGGGAGCGCAACAAGAAAAAGTTCAGAAGGGCAGTAGTGGGAACCTGTGTCACAAGATAGCATAAGATACTCCAATGTTATATCATATATTATAATTACAACTCTATAACATAAGGTAAAAGCCAGAAAGTTGGAATATGATTATCCTAACCCTTCTATGGTAAATTAAAGTGTATCCTACCATGAAACCATATTCCAACTTTCTGGAGTTCCCTGTACTATCATATGCATAGCCTGAGCCCGTGGTTTGCGGTTTCGGGCTTCGGCACTTACAGGTGTGAGCCTTGGCCACGAAGCCCTAAACCCTACAGGGCCTTATGGGGCTCCAATTAATTGTTGATGATATAAATCCTGCATAACCCATAATCAGGAATATACCATAATTCCCATAGTTTAGGGTCCTTAAGGTCATGCAGGATTTATATCATCAACCGAAGGACTATGGACCCCAATAGCTTGTGAATTTGAGATTCAGGGCCCAGGGCATGGGGGAAAACCCACCCAAGCCAAAAAACGCAAAGATCAGAGACCCCCAACAAAACCCTGTATCACGAAAGCCTAACCCTAAACCCTAAACCACTGAAGCCTAAACCACAAAACCACGAAACCCTAAACCCTACAGCCCTCTAAACAGGGAGCTCCGCAAGGAAGGGCCTGCGCTGCGCTTTGCCACGCCGTCGAGGCCGGCCAGAGCCAGGACCCGGGGCAGCGCAGGGGTGCCTGGTGCTCAGGAGAGGCACAAAATGGGCATTGTTTTTACTCTTATTACTAGTAATATTACCATTATCAAGTCATTATTAAGGATCATTCTTCTTATTGTACAATACAGACACTGCTATTGCCTGGTGCTCAGGAGAGGCGCAAGAAGGGCATTATCATTGTTGGTCCTGTTAGTATAACTACTATCATCATCATTGTTATTGTTATGATTTTTCTCATTATGAAGTACATACAATTTTCATTGTTGTAAATGCTGTAGTTGTTTACTATCAGGATTATTATGACAATTCTGTAAGCGTTGTAGAAGAAGTGAAAACTCTAGGGTCTTGGGATTTGGGTTGTGGGTAAGAAAGTTTATGGGGTTAAGGGTCTGGGGAGTTGCTGAGGTTCCTGAGGAATTGGTAGTTCGAAAAACCTCTTTGATGCGGCAAAGAATGCCGCCCTGCCAATAGGACAGTTTCAAGCTTGCTTGTAACTCCTTAACTCCTTGTCTAGTCTACACCGCAAAATAACCCCAACACCCTGAAGCCAATGACGAGCGGATCCCCCATAAACCCTCAACCCTCACCCCTAAACTCCCCTAACCCCTCAACTCCCCTAAATCCTAAACTCCCCTGACCCCTAAACCCTAAGCTTGACCTGAAACCAGCATGCGCAGCTGCTCTAAGTCCTGAGAAGATCAGGGGTCCGCGACGATACATCGAGGAACCGTGGAGCACACCCTAAACCCTACCTTAAGCCGGAATAACCTACCTTTTTAAGGACTTATATAGGGAAATCATAACAAGGAACCCTAAAAAGGTATGTTATTCTGGCTTAAGGTAGGGATCAAAATAGCCCAAACGCCTTATGTAGTATGGTCTTTGGGCCCAAAAGCCTTAATATATGAGTCCGTAGATCCCTATAGGGAAACTGGGTTCTTGTTAAGCGCTTTCATTTACCTATACTGAACTTAGAACCCTAGCATTAATTTTAATTGTAGCTGTCTCTTAGGGATTATAATAACCAAAAATTTCTGAGTACCCCTAAGTTACGTTAAAAGCCTTCTTGTGGAGGGACCCAGGGCTTCTGACTATGCTAACCTGCGGCCCGGCCGAGGCTGACCCACCGTCAAATGTTGGGTTTGGGATTACCTGGACCTCAAAAGTATGTAGAATAAATAGCCTTTTATAGGGTTTGGGCCATCAGTTTACCTAGTTTTGGGGGTTTAGGATTAAGGATTTCTTAAACCTCCCTTTCAGTCAAAAGGTAAGGGTTGAGGGTTCAGGGTTTAAGTTTTGGTCGATAGTGTTATCTACCCCAGAACCCGGCTCTTTGGTGTGAAAGCCCGTGTATCACAGCAGCTGTAAAGCTCGGGGCTTACTGACGCTTAGTGCTTCGAGCCTCTACGGTTTAAGGCTTAAGGTGTCGAGTTGAGTTTGGGGTTCAACGTGTAAGGTTTTGGAGCTCTCAGAGAACTGTGGGTGTTTGGGTTTCGTTAAAACCCTAAACCCTAAACCCTGAACCAATGACAGTGGATGCAACCGGCCTCAAGCAACAAGACTGCAGCGCAAAACTCTTGCGATTTGACTCTCAGCTTGCTAGGAAGGTCGTCTTCCTTCGCCGGCTATATAAGTTCTCGAGCAGCGCCTATGGCAGCTCAGCTAATTAAACACACAAAAGACTTGTGCGACCTGTACAAGTATGAGCTTTTCTGCATCTGTTGCAGAATGCCTAAACTTTGAAGACAGAATCCGCTTACTTCCGGGCAGGATTCTCTCGAAGCTTTACACGAGTCCGTCTTGTTGAGAAGTACGGGGCATCACACGCAACTGGAGCAGCCCGAGTTGTACTGCCAGGCTGCTTGTGGCACATGCACGCACCACAGAGCACATCCTTGTCTGCAACATAGATGCAGGTATATGGTGGAATGCCGATAACGACGGGATTTTTGGTTTAGGGCTATGTGCTTTGTGGCTGAACAGCAAGAAGCAAGCCCGGAACCTTCAACTGATCTTTAATCCTTCCCGGATTCTCCTGAACCCTGACCTGGTCCTTAAACCGTAAGCCCCAAGCAGGAAACTTGAATCCTGCACTGAAACCTATAATCATACCGTTGATGATATACATCCTGCATTACCCATAATAAGGAATATACCATAATTCCTATGGTCTAGGGTCATTAGCGTAATGCAGGATTTACATCATCAGCCGTACAACTAGAAAAAACTCTATACTCGTGCAGGCCGGAGCATCCGCCGGTGGCGGCCGGGTGCGTGTTGTTGGTGTTGTTCGTCTGCATGCGACAGGAGTTCAGCGGAACTTCAACTCTCCATCTTAAACCCTCATGGATACCCTCAGCCCTAGATCCCACTTGAGACCCTGATACCCATTTCAAACACTAGACCCAATTCAAACCCCAGTTCAAACCGCAAACCCCAAGTCAAAGCCTAAACTCAAATCGAAACCCTATACACCAATCTGAACCGTTACCCCCTAAATCCTACACCCCTTAAAGCCTCTTGAGTGGCGTATGCCTTAATTAGATAGCTTTAACAAGAGCCCTACACCCTACGGCCCTACAGGCTAAAGTCCTAAACCCAATTCTCAAGCCTCTAAATCTTTGAACGCTTACCTCAGGAAAATCCAAAAGCCCTAGAACCGTCCAAGCATTTGGATGACCCCCAAAGAACTTAAACTTTGCATCCTACCCCCCAGAAAAACCCTCAATATTGCATCTCTGACATCTTGGAAAAGGTCCACTTGAAGGGAGCCCTCACGAACGGCAAGACCCCTAATATGACAAGACAAAGCCGTGACCCCCCAAACCCTAAACCCTTAAAGGAACCCTTATAGATCCCTTAAACTCAATGGCCCAAAACCCAAGGAAAGAAAAGTTGAAACTTTCAGAATCGAACACCTTCTAAACCCCAAAAATTGAAAAGTTGAGTTAACAGCCAATAAGTAAAGAAACCAACCCTTAAAGGAGGCCTGATTGGTGGAGTTGGTCCCGGCCGGTGTGCAGTCGCGGCACTCAGGGGTGTACCTAAGCCCGGGTGTCAAGGAGCTGCCCAGGCTGGTTTGGGGATTATAAGGTTTGGGGTTTAGGGGTTTAGGGTTTAGGGTTTATAAGGTTTACCTTAACCCCAAGTAACCTACCCTTTTTAAGGAATTATATATAAAGAACTCATATTCGGGAACCCTAAAAAGGCAGGTTCCTTAGCGTCCAGGTAGGGGTTCAGGGTTTAGGGGTTTATAAGGTTTAGGGGTTCAGGGGTTTATCGTTTAGGAGTTTAGGGTTAAGGGTTTAGGGTGGTCCCCTTTGGGCTTTAGAAGGGTTCTGATATTGTGGCTGAGGCGTTTGGGGTGTGGGTACGGGATGTTTAGTGCAATGCTCCATTAAAATTAACACCAGGGCTGAGGCTTTAGGATAATAGGATTTAGGTTGGAGTTTGGGGTTTCATATATTTAGTAACTTCCTTGGCGTGGGTATCTTTTGGATAGCACTAAAAGGCTACCTGTCCCTCACAAGACAGGGCCAACAGCGACTCAGCGACAGGCGACCACAATCTGTAAACTCGAGTTTCGGCTACAGGCAATTGAAACCCAAGCTCGAAACCCACAAATAAAAACCTAAACACCTAAGCCCTAAACTCCCTAAACCCCATAACCATCAGATTGGTGCTTCAAATTGAGAAGCTGTGACCCGAAACTTTGAGCAACCGGCCAAGGCACTTCCAAGAGTTGCCGGGGACCCATCCTGGGCCAGGGATAAACAGAAGAGTCAGTTCCTTCCCCAGATACTAAATCGTCCAATCAGGGCTTCTTAGGCCGATTGGACTGCAGTCTCGTTTAGGTCTAGAAATTAGGGATTAAAGTTTAGGGTGTACTGCACCAGCAAAAAAACAACTCGAGCTGACAAAGACCAAGCGTCCGCACCAGCTGGCACAGCCGAAGATCGTCGGCAGCGGCCCGGTGTGGTTTTCTCCTCCACAGCCACGGCAGCCGAGCGTGAATTGCCAGGAGGGGCTCGCCACCCAGCCGCACCTCTAGGGGTTTACTGTCCATTCAGAGTTTAGGCTTCTTTTTGCGGTTGGGCTGCTTGTTGGATTTTAGGTTCTTTATGCTAGGGTCTGGAAGTGCGGTCGCGGGCTAAGTTCCAACACTGACAGCAGCGACACCGGACCTTTGCACTGCGATTCGTATAGGGGCCTGAGTAATTACCAACTCAATACTATTTTGGGGGCTCCTTATCATGAATTTAACAATATGGGCCCCAAAACCCTATCCTAATGATTAAGGCCCCTACATTAAATTAAATTAGTAAACTGCAACTGTGACAGCGACCCAGGCTGCTGCTAATCGCTGCTGCTGCTCCTGACGCTCTCAAGACCATAAAAGCGACGTAGCTTCCCATATTTGAGGTTTATGTGCGGTTCATGCATGGGTCAGCTGTTGTCAGAGCGATGAAGACTAGTTTTCTACAAATGCAGTTCTTGTGCGTGCAGCGCACTAGACTACGTACTAGGCCCCATGAAGTGCAGGGTTTGCCCTTGGCCGTCCTAGACCGCAATACCCAACCATACCCCGAACTGGGAGGAACTGGCAAGCATTTAAAAATCGGACGCTTAACTTTTGTTTTGCCGGAAAAATCCTGTTTGCACATTTTCTGTGAACAGCAATAAGCAACAACGTCGAGCAGTAGATTTCAGCGATCCGTCTAAATACCGGTTTCGCTGGAACGGGATACTTTTTTGTTAACATGTAAGATTCTGTACACTCATAAACGCAAAACTAAAATACACAAGCCGCAATGTTCTGCTACAAGGTTGCCTGCTAGGGCGGATTAGGTCTGAATAGGAAGTAAATAATACGATGGTCATAGATGTACCCTAGAACATACCCCCTGGAAGTGGTTACCTCAGGACGCCCAAACTGCCACTCATGAACTCCAACAGGGATGAATCCGAAGTCGACAGCGTCACACCCTAGCAGCCCTGAGCCTGGCAATTGGCGGTTCT